CGTAATCTCTGTGGTAGACATGTCAATTATGACGAAAAAGCAATGTCAAGTCCCTGGTAGCCACCATGTTGAATCAAATGGGTGATTGTGCCGACGGCTCTTATGAGGGCTTGGGGCATTTCACTCAATTCGCCTAGTAACGGTATTTGGTATCAAAGGTTTTTGGTTCTCGTCAAGGCCTGACTGACCAAGGACGTTTTTGAAAACAAAAAGTTAGTGGGGGACTTTATCCTAGGTCTCTTTCATAGCATTATTTCCACCAGACATTAATATGACAAGTACGCGCATAATGATGACCCCCTAACCTCCCAGCCAACTCCGGCTAGAAATTACCTGGCTGCTTTTGTCGCCACCAATAACTATGGGCCCCTTGGCAGCCGGTGCCACCTAAAACATTTCTCGCGTTGCCTTGAATCGGATAGTTACCTCGCTTCCCTGCTGTCTGCCCCTAAACTTGAAATGGGCTCGCACCGACCCCTCGCACCTCGCACTTCGGGCACTCGGGGCTCGGAATTCTGTCTTCTGCGCTCCAGGCACTGAAAGCCATCAAATTTATTATGCTTGTTGGGCCCAAATCCCGATGCCGTACTCTGTAATAGTAAGCGTTATAGTCTTGGTTCTTCGGGTTACCGCCCGTGATAGTAGAAATATTGACATGTCTGGTAGCAAATAAAACGCCGAGCTGCTTGGGTAAGTACCTTCTAGTCACAACACATCGACTTGAGCCGTTGACAAATTGACAGCTCTTAAAAAGCCCTTAAAAATCTGACACATGATATACGGAGTAATCAACTGCAATTAAATCGCTAATAAATTGGTGATAGTTGATATGTACCAAAACATCCCTTCACCCCCTGGGTAGGTGATTCCATCCGGCCCTCGCTCCAACGCTCGGGGTCCCATTTAATAGCATTGGGGTATAGCTTCTCATTGTAATGCGCGTCTATAGTATTATAGAAGGCGAAGCTACTCGGGGGAATGACTTGATTGCTTCCAGGAATGGAAATAGCATCGGGTGTGTCGTTGAAGCGACCCATGGGAAAAGCAACCCACATGCGAATAGCCTCTTTGTAGCAAAGTTCAAGCGATTCAGACATTTTTTCCCAGGCTTCAATCGGAAGTTGATCAAGCTGATCGACAAGGGGCAGCTTCCTGGTCTTATCAGTCGCATAAATGGCTGCCGAGCTCTTGATCTCATTGTAGATTTTACCCTGCCAGTCCTGGTGGTGGGCAACAATGTTCAACATGGAGCCAGAAACTACCCCGGTGTTGGCACCAGCAATAAAAAGCATACTAGTCAAGAACGTGCTGATATAATCCTAGCTATCTCCAGCATCGATCAAATACTGCAACGTATCATCGCCACCGGCAGCGCCCCTAGCCATGCGTCTATTTACGATAGATTCCACAGTCTTCTGTAGCCCTCGACGGCCATAACGACGTTTCCAGTAACCAGGGCTAAGATAAGATATACCAGGAAATGCAAGAAGATGTAAAGTATTGGTGAACTGGAGAATCTGAGTATACAAGAAAAGAGAATGAAGCAGTTCAGGGTTGTCGGCAATCTCGTCAGTGGCCACGATACGGCTTCCTTGGGTGATTACGATACGAAAGCAAGTCTTTGATGGATTGATGACGGAGGATTCATTCATCCTCATAGCCTCAAATGCTGTGCGGGCGTCTCTTGTAACTTTAGGCAGCCGCTTGGCAAGCAGGTCCGACCTCTGCAGCTCAAGAAGCCGTCGTTGCGCATATGTTCGTCCACTAGGGCCGGTACCCTTCCAAATGTCGTGGATCACTGTTGAGCGTCCGTTGATCAAGTCTGGCCCGTGGCCAATAAGGGTGATTCCTTTGATGAGATGGAGCCGTCGGTCTTCGAGATACATCTTTCGCGCTGCTTCGCCAGACAAGCCGATAACGTGGTTCTGGCCAAGCCAAAAACTAAATGTACCGGTCTTTGATTTGGCCACAGCGCCTCTCCAGAAGCCCCTGACATTTTTCTATTAGCATTACCGGCTCTTGTAACCCGTGAGAATGAGCCGGGAATTTTTTTTTTTTTTTTTAAAAAAAAGGGTTAGCTCACATCTTGTTGGTGAAAAAGCTCCATGAGCCAATAAAAGGCAGGGTATCAGTTGTAAATTCTGGCGCGCCACGATGTTAGGTGTGTACCACAAATATACCACAAGTGTGATAAGAGCGATCGTAAAAGCAGTTAGTACTGCTGGTATCGGCTCAATATCTTCCAGACTGAAGCCTATCCATAGCATTGTTTTTGACATTGTGGAGTGGGAAGCGAGATTTGAAGAGTCCGTGTTGGTCAAAGCAGCGCAAAAAGCAGAGGTACTTTTGTCAATAAGAAGAAGCCACCAGCGAGAGCAGGTCAAATTGGCTCTTGGTGCGCAAAGATGATCACACCGTAAAAAGTGATACTGCCCTGTCTCGGGTAGGACAAAAGGAGTGATAGCGATGTGATCGGGAATAGTTCAAAACGAAGCTCCTGCCTACGACCCGACGCCGCAACCCACAAACCAGGAAACCCAAAACAGGCCAACGGCGGGAGACGGTAGGAATCGGGAAGTATGCGGCTGAGCTGGGCTCCCAGATAATGAGTCCGATGCCGATGTCACCCTGCGCAGGGATGCAGTAGCAAGGAAAAGCAACGTACAAGCGACATGCCACTTGGCCAAGGTTTCATTTGCAACAGCAGAACGCCAAGTCTCTTCGTGTAAAGTTGTCCAACCAGATGTCTCTGTCCAAGTCAAACCGTGTCTACGTCTTTGGCGACCGGACCTTCAACTATGAGCATTCATTGGCTCAACTACTTTGTTGCCACAACACCTTCTTGACTTTGTTTTTCCGCAAATGCTATTCTGCTATCCGAACAGAGCCCGGCCGTCTGCCGTTACACACTCGCGATACGACTGCCAAGTTCTCTAGCGTCGCTGACCTGCTTATGAGGAAGCGGGATGGCTGTCTCAGTCCGGCGTTGGAGCAGGTGTTGTGTCTTGTTCACACTTTGGCGGCATTTATATGGTTGGCAATTTCAGTATATGTCAAGCTATTCCGTCAAGCTAACTGTAGGCAGGCAACACTCTGAGCGCAAATTATCCTTCCCCACGCCCCAGGATAGCGTCTTGTTGGGCTTCTGTACTGGATCCCTTGCAGCCGCTGCCGTCAGTTCTTCTCAGGATCTCGTCAGTTTCATCCCTGCCGCCGTGCATGCCGTGGTGGTTGCATTATATACAGGCCTGCGAGCTGCACAAGAGGCCCAATCTATTCATGGCAACGCCTCATCGCCATGGTCCTTGCTGGTGCTTGGCATATCCGGAGACCAAATGACCACCATCCTTGAAGGCTTCAACTCCCGGAACGTACGTATTTTTCAACCAGGTTGCAATTGAGAACTAACACAGACTCCTAGTCATTCGCACCATCTTGCCATGCATACATCAGCGCCTTTGGAACGGCTGGTGTGATATCAGCGGGCCGCCCGAGGTCTTGACGAGATTGAGCCAGCAAGATTGCCTTCAGGAATATGACAAGTCCTTCCTCCCCATTCGCAGCCCGTATCATGCATCCCATTTATTCTCCCAGTGGGATATTGATGCCATTTTGCAGGCGGCCCATTCTTGGGCGCCAACGGACAATGTCATGCCATTCATCCCTGTCATGCCCTGTGGTACTGGACACTTTGCTTGGATGGATAATTCACAAGCCCTGCTGGAAAGCAGTATCCACGACGTGTTAATACTTCCAATCTTCATGGAGAAAGCCATCGACCATGTTAGTCTAGCCTTGGAAGCTAGACCTCCGGCAGATGTTCTGGTTGTCGTGACCGGCACGGACTGTGGGGAGACGGTATATCGCCGCCTCAAGACGGCTCTGGGACGTAGCATGCCCATAGCCATCAACGTCGCAGCGCAATCAGTCAGCGTTCCCGAGTCCAGCGCAATAGAGCGGCCCAATATTGCTGTCATTGGCATGTCTGGACGATTCCCGGGCGCATCCAACCCAGAAGATCTGTGGAGCTTATTGCAAAATAAAATAGACATGTGCGCCAAGTGCCGCCGATGAGATGGAACGTCGAGACACACGTTGATGTGTCCGGAAAGCGAAAGAATAGGAGCAAAGTGCGCTGGGGCTGTGCGAAGAGCATAAATCGAATCCAGAGTTGTCAGCATAGATTGTGTGTCGATATCTATAGCTAGTTCGTCTCGAAGGCGACTTCCAATCATCAGGGAAAGAAGCGAGTCTACTCCAAGATCTGCAAGCAAGATATTATTAGTGAGCTGTTCGACAGGTACGTTGGCCTCCTCGGACATAATTCTCAGTACACTGACAAATCGCTTATCGGCGTTTAGGTCCCCTGCTTCAGACGCCGCCACGGAGAACACCGTCTGACCTTGTTGAGCCGGCGAGGGTACTTTTTGCGACACGGTTGTAGTAGTAGATTGACTGAATAGCGGGGGTCGAATCTCCGACTTCTGTAGAGCCTTGACATTCCGGCAGTGTAGAGGATAATGGCGATCGTCCCAAAGCCCTCTTCAAGCCAGCCACGGTACTGTTTCCCAAAAAGAGTGTTGAGTCCGCGGTACTGCCAAGCTCTTCGGAAAATAAGCTTGTAATTATTAGTGCATGTTGAGAGTCGATACCAATGTCATCAAAGCGAGTTTCATCTCGTACATCTGATAGTGGAATACCGCTTTGTTCCGCGATAATTCCTATAGCGTTGGATATTAAGGAATTAACGCATGCCAAAACTTCTGGAGACGCTTTACGGGCTGAGGCGGTTGCCTTAGGGGCAACTACTACAGGTGAAGCCAGTATAGGAGCACCTTTAGCTGCTGGCGTTGTAGCAAAAGTTATATCAAGAGCTCCTTCTTGAGTCGGCTGGGGTATAGATCTAGTTTCTTTGGCACTTTTGGTCTTGAATTTTAGAGGGTTGGCTGCTTGCGTTAGTATGAACTTGAGCAATCGACGAGGAACCTCTTGAATCTATAACATCAATTTTAGCACTGAGGTCACCGCATACACCAGTCTTGATTTGAGGAACTTGCCTGTACTCCTTCCACCAGGCCAGCGATTCGATCGTCTGTGAAAATAGTCACATCGCCTTCCCAAAGAGACCTGTCTCCAGGGATCATGCGGACATGGGCAAAGTACTGGCAGTTACCTCTAATGGCCTCAAACAGCTGCAAATTCTTTCAGCCATTATTTACAAAGACGTTTGTGTCAAGCTTCGTCTTGTCATTGTCATTCATAGTAAACCTCCTGACTGGGTCAAGCCATCGATCACACCAGGATTGATGTGAAATGTGCCTCCCTTTTTAATCTGACCGAAGCTGACCACTTGAATACACTCATATAGTTCATTGTCGTACAGGACATCATCGACGCAATAGTGGTCCGAGTTGAATTCAGCCAACGCAGAGACTAAACGATACGCCACAGGCCCGCTGAATCTGCAGGTCTTCCCCTCAGCGAGTTGGCGACGCATTCTATCCAAGTGTTCTATCATGTTGGGGAGCTTCTGTTGGAAATTTTGGCTATCAGATTTGTTAATAAACTTCATGGAAAAAGTAAATAGCCGACCAATCTCTCTTCCACGTTCCTACAGCCTTGTTAGCCTTATTTTTAGAAGCAGGGTAGTCAAGTTTGATGTTTCAAGTTTGCTTACATAGTAAGCGGCAATCCTGAGATTAGCATCTTTGGACGCCAAATTGATCTTGGCTGTACAACGCAAGAATTGCTTCCAATCTGCGGAGTCAACCAAGGCTCTCGTGAGTTCCATGTCCGTAATGGTGATGAGTCTTTCTGGAAAGGGTGGCTGAAAACGCTCGAGAGCATATGCTCCAATTGAAAAACCAATATCTGCGTAGACTGCCTAAATTGACTGAATTAAACGGTGTTTACCCACGGGAGAAACTCAATGTCACCTCTTACCTGTGTACATAGGCTGAAGCCATCGACCGTGTGGCCCCGGATAAAAGGCCGAACATCAGCACGGTTAACATCACACTCCGTGACAACTTCATGTCTATTACTGGTAATCCTTTCTTCCAGAACCTCATGAATGGTACTAGTTAAGTTTTGGAGTCTCCACGATTGCAGATTGAGCGTTATTGGAAGAAGATGTCGACGGTATAGACTTGTCTAATTCGGCTGCAACGCGACACTGGTGAACAGGAATATCACCCTTCGTGAGAGTCCAATCGTTTCTGTGCGGGATCCAAAACGACTTCAGATCCCAGTTGTAAGCGGGAAGCTCAATTACTTTCCTGGCCGATAGAATATCAGCAAAGCAACCGTCCCACTTAACTGGAGAACCAGAGGCATACAAAGAACATAATGACTTGGTCAATACTTCCCAAGGATCGGTAATGCGGCGCAAAGTACGCAGCACTGTAATATCAGAGCCGAGAGTCGCTCTGATCATGCCAGGAACTACTGAATGAGGGCTGAATTCGATGGCAAAGGAGGACTTTGTAAGCATACTGGCTGAAAACGCAGATTGGAGACATTTCGTTATTTGCACAAGCTCTCTGGCATGGCGTACAATGTATTCCGGGCCAAATATATCACCATGTTGGACCACCGTGCCGTCAAGGGGCGAAAGGACTGGGAGTTGCGGCTTCCGGAAGACCGCCTTTTGTGCATCCTTAATAAATGGAGTCTGGATCGGCATGATCTGTGACGAATGGAAGGCATATGGGACTTCAATAGGATTATTACGGATCCCAGCGCTCGCCAAAGTCTGTTGCAACTCTGCCACTTGTGCTGCTGAGACATGTTCTATACAGGCGCTCGAGTGCTTATATAACGGTCGCCGCAATAGAGGTAGTATTTGCGGCTCTACCTTAGAAAGTCTTTATTAGTAGAGTAGTGGACTATACTCTCTATTTGGAAAGTTCTTAACGTGCTCTTGTTGATCCCCGAAGTCTCTATTGCAAGTTATCGCTTGATAATATTCTTTTTAAACTTGTAAAATAGTGAGGGTAGGACTGGTAGGTGAAGTCTTACTGAAGGCACTTGTGTTCCGTTATATTGGATATATTTTGTCTAGTCAGCTAGTTATAAACAGCATCCGGTATCTTGGCGGCATCTCTCGTATAAGTTTGCGGGGTGAGAATAGTAACTTCCTTGCTCGGGCCGGGGTGGCCGCAAGACCCGGCTCGTGGCGGTGTGCCGGGCACCCAGCGAGCAGATCTTGCCTCTTTAAGATACAGTCGCGTGATATACTTTAGTTGCCGCCTGCTATAGTTTAGGAATATTAACTTGCATTAAGTCGTGTCGTCGTAAGTCAAGGGTAGTATTTGGGGAGTTTTCATACCAGGATACCACGAACGAGGCTATTCCCAGGATAGGAAACACTTGCACTCACCCAAGCCTGTAGATCCGTAAAGACAAAAGACATGTCGCAGTTTCCATGGCTGTTGGACCGGTGCATAGCGACCGGAATTGCATGTCTCGGACCGAGGGTGCCCCTTTTATCAAGCTGGTACAAAACCCGGCTTCTCTTTATGTATCTTGGCCAAGACGTTGTAACAATAGGTGCATAGATTCGCATTATATATGCTAGGGTGCCCTGCTTGTGTGTGACAGGATTGGACTCGACGCAAATCCACCCGCGAGCGGCCCAAGCGACCGTTCACCCTTGCAAGACTAACAAAGTCTAATACAACGTACCAGAATTTTATACGAACGTTTCGAATCACATCTTAACACAGGCCACTGGCCGGCGATTACGTTATGTGCTGGCACCATAATTTCCCGACACTTATACTCCGTCCCAGAAGAAAACTTCAAGACAGTCTTCTTCCGCCTAGCAGTGCTCTCTATGCTGATTTTGCAAACTCTCCTGGTTCCAGCCTCTTTGTATTCCCATACCTGACCACGCTTTGCTATCGGATAAAATGCTCAGGAGGTAAGTGTGATCAGGGCATGGACCATTTGGCGTTTTCTATGCCACGACCGCCGCAATCAGAGTTGATTCCGATTAATCGAGCTGACTCGTGTCGGTAGCGGCATTTCCTTTCTTACGCGGGCGTCTCGCCCTGCCGTCTCAGCAATCAGTTCGCGACCTACCATTCAATCTGCTGCTCTGCGGTATTCTATGGGCACTAGATTCGCCAGCTCTGGCAGCGTCGGTTTCGGAAAGATTCACCAAGTAGGCTTCGCGTCATTGCCGATTGGGGAGGCTTTTGTTTTGAGGCTGACAATAACTTGTTCTAGGTGATTGGTGCTGTCGTTGATGGTACGCCAAATACCTTTTCCACGAGCCTTGCACGCCTGACATTATACCAACAATAACTTGATTGACTGCTTTCTAGTCAAGTTTGATACCCCCAAGCTGCCTGCCATTCTAAACTCTCTCGAGGTCGACAACCACGGGAGCAAGCTCGTTCTTGAAGTCTCGGTATATTATGCCCCCAAGCACTAATAATCATTACTAGGCCTCCTTGTCTGACACAAGGATATAGCAACATATCGGTGAGAATGTTGTGCGTTGTATTGCCATGGATGGTACGCCCTTTTGTTCTTTCCCAGCTTTACCCAAAACCACGTTACTAATACCGTATACAGGCACTGAAGGTCTCGTCCGAGGTGACAAGGCCACCGATACGGGGGCTCCTATCACTGTCCCTGTTGGTCCTGCAACTTTAGGTCGTATTATCAACGTTACTGGCGACCCTATTGACGAACGCGGCCCTATCAAGACCGACAAGTTCCTACCTATTCACTGTGATCCTCCAGAATTTGTTGCTCAATCAACTACAGCCGAGGTTCTCGTTACTGGTATCAAGGTTGTGGATTTACTCGCTCCTTATGCTCGCGGCGGTAAAATTGGTTTATTTGGCGGTGCTGGCGTTGGCAAAACTGTCTTTATCCAAGAGCTAATCAATAACATTGCTAAAGCTCATGGTGGTTACTCGGTTTTTACAGGTGTCGGTGAACGGACCCGTGAGGGCAACGATTTATACCATGAAATGCAAGAGACTTCTGTTATCCAACTTGACGGGGATTCTAAGGTCGCCCTGGTATTTGGTCAGATGAACGAGCCCCCTGGTGCCCGTGCAAGAGTTGCCCTTACGGGTTTGACGATTGCTGAGTATTTTCGTGACCATGAAGGCCAGGATGGTAAGTTTGTCCACGAGTAAAATTACATCTTGTCGTCTTCTAACCCACTTTGCAGTGTTGCTTTTTATTGACAATATCTTCCGGTTTACTCAGGCCGGTGCCGAGGTTTCTGCCCTGCTAGGCCGCATTCCCTCTGCTGTTGGTTATCAACCCACTCTTGCTGTTGATATGGGTGTGATGCAGGAACGCATTACCACGACTGACAAGGGCTCGATTACGTCTGTTCAGGCTGTTTACGTTCCTGCTGATGACCTAACTGACCCTGCCCCTGCTACCACTTTTGCTCACCTGGATGCCACTACTGTTTTATCCCGTGGCATTTCGGAAATTGGCATTTACCCTGCTGTGGATCCTCTTGCCTCTACTTCTCGTGTGCTTGATCCTCGCATTGTTGGCCAAGAACATTATGATACTGCTACCCGCGTTCAGCAAATCCTTCAAGAGTATAAGTCACTCAAGGACATTATTGCAATCCTTGGTATGGATGAATTATCTGAGGCTGATAAACTTACCGTTGAGCGTGCTCGCAAAGTCGAGCGGTTTTTAAGTCAGCCATTTACCGTTGCCCAAGTGTTTACTGGCATTGAGGGTAAACTAGTGGATTTAAAGGATACTATTCGTTCTTTTAAGGCTATCTTGGATGGTGAGGGTGATAGTCTTCCGGAGGCCGCCTTTTACATGGTTGGCAATCTTGATTCTGCCAAGGAGAAGGGTGCAAAGATTCTGGCGGATTTGGACAAGAACTAAGTTATCTAACTACTACTATTACCTGATAGCATGTACGTATATGTACGATAGAGTTGTATCGCTAGCGACAATTATATGCGTGGAAAAAGAGTTATCCTAGACAAGGAAGGCCTCTATTATCGTCTATTACCTGTTTGGCTTTCTCCAACTTTTCAGATGCCAACGCTTTGCGTATCCAGTCCATATAGCTAGCTGTTCACAGAGGGCAGAAGAATGTCGCCGGGGAAACTGGGCAAATCTCGCCTGGATACTTCCTAGCTTCCCCGGTGGCTGGACTAAATGGGGGTTCTACTTGGCATTGTTGAGTATGTTATACATTTAGAGCCAAAACTCAATAAAGGAGTATTAGGCTGGGAGGGGATTCGATCGCAAGTTATTTGTTGACAAACGCTGCTAATATATTGACTCACGGTAAGCGACGCAAAATGCCAAGCCAGCGGCCGCAAAAATAGTCGGCAGTGCAATAGCCCCAGCGAGAATTTTGTCCAGTCCATGCATCTATGCGTATATAATAGCGCTAAATTGTACACGAGAACGAAGAGTTATCAACTTTTTTTTTAATACAGTCATATCTTGGCCTATACATGTCTTGTTTTTTCCTCCAAGCAATTTACGCTTGGACGGCCCGGCCCGTCTGACCCGCTCGCCCCAGACTTACTAAATATATGTAGTAATGGCTTCGTATTACTGCACTAAACAATCAACTTGGTCAATTCGGGATGTATTACTCTTTAAATTGTTATGGCTAACTCGAGACAAAGCCCGAGATATGCATTTTATCGTTTAAACCACTTGACCCTCTCTTGTCTAGCTCTGTCATGCGTCATGTTCTGGCGCGAGTACAACCATCTTATCCCATCCGCGACTTTCTTTTGCCGCCGCGAGCGCTTCTTTATACTGCTTCAGCGAAAACGGCCCCTGGACCTTTTTCCACAGCTTCAGGGTCCCTGACTCAATGAAACGGATAACTTGTGCCACATCTCTGTGTCCCTGGGCAAATTGGCCGCGGATAGTGATGCAGTTGACCATGATGGGGGCATAGGGCAAGGAAACATCTTCGAGGACTACGCCAGCAAAGCAGCATCGTCCATATCGCTTGAGGGCCATGATGCCAGCCGAGACATGCGTTCCATCAGCCATCGGTGGAGCGTAGTCAATGTAGGCATCGGCACCTTTGCCGCCTGGTGTTGCCGCCTTCAGATTCTCCGTGTCTTTCGTCGCATCTCCGGTCAGAACAACCTTTTTAATCCTTCCGTCTGTTTCCCCCTCAAAGTGGCTTACCAGCCTGTCGAGCGATTCTTGGGAACGACTACCCACCACAACATTCGCACCCAGAGCGAGTACAACGGGTATCACACTCGAGCTGAAGAATCCCGTGGCGGGAAGTAGAAGAACAGTCTCGCCGGGACAGACGGAAATAGAGTTCGCAGCTCCAAGAGCAGGCATAAGACTAGCTATTTCGGCTAACTCAAATGGCGAAGCAGTGACAGAACTGGAGATGGGGTGGACATTCTCTGCGGGGAATTTCGCCCATTGTGCGTAACAGCCATTTCGCCAGTAATCTTTTGACATGGCTAGCTCAAGAGGTGTGAAGCCACCGTGATATCCTGTGGTTTTATTAGCATTTCAACCCTTGGCTTGCCGAGGAAACTGAGTGGCAGTCGTTGGTGGAGAGATTTACCTTGTACGACTCGTTCGTCATTTAATCGAATAACATAGTCACAGAAAACCAGTTGCCCTGGAGTGAAACATTTGACATCTGGCCCAACCTCTTCCACGCGGGCGACGCAAGCCGTCCCGAAAATGAGGGGATAAGGCAGAGGGTATCCTCGTTGTCCGCTAAGGATGTCAGGCTAACAGAAAGGAGCCAATTCTATTAGCATGCGACACCAAGGACTGAGTTCGATCAATGGGTAAGCTTCTTACAACATAATCCCACATTGGCGCGGCAAGCACTTTCACTACAACTGAGCCGGGGGCTGCATTTGGTTTAGGAACCGTCTCAAGACTGAGTTTCCCCGGCTCATGGAGCACAAGCGCATTCATAGATGCCATTTTGAGACGGTTGGTTATGGTAAGAACGTTGCGTTGGTCAGTTTAACTAAATATGTTTCGAAAAGGATGTTCTTCCAACCTTTTAGCATTCAGCGGGATACCAGATTCTTAAATACCCGGTCTTGGTTTCCATCCGACGTGACAGTTATCCCGATTATGAAATACTGCGGCAGAGCAAGTTTGATCATCAGCCATACTTTTCAAAAAAGAGTTGACATCATGCTCAATCTATTCATCATTACTCGTTACATCCCGACCTCCCCCCACTGCGATGTAAACCCCAACCCCCCTCTGTGACATAACTTTATAAACCCGATAGGCTCACCAGCTTTGTAAAGTTACATATGAGGTCGTGCCTCAAAACTACACGCGCTTAGCTATTCCTACAATAATTCCTTTTGTGGCAGTACGTATATCCTGGTTCTAACAGATTTTGAGGTCCAGGCTTGGGCGGCTTTGTGCGTTCGGCATTTCATTGAATTTTTTCAATGAACTAATTCACAGACTGGGCAACAAGTTTTGTGGGCCCTGGCCAATCTATGAGGTTTACGTAATACAGGGAGATTCTCAAGGCGACTGATAGATGGGCGTCTCAACCGCCATAAAAGCAGTCATCAAATTCAGGATGGCGACATGGAGACTTATACGGAATGAGCATTTATCGGATTACCGAACCGTACATAAAAAAATACTAACAATAAACCCTTAATATTGGCAGATCGTGAGAATGGCCTTCATGTAAAGTAACAAAAAGCAACGAGTCGGAACCAACCAGTGTAGGAGAGAGTCAAGCTCTGAAGAGACTTCACTCCCGGTAAAATGAAATCCGTATCCGTACCAGTCGCCGCATTCTCAACGCCGCGAAATTCAGTTCATATTGTTGCGTATTTCTCGCAATACTGCCCTTGAGCTTGTGCTTCGTAGTCAGCTCTCCAGCCCGTCCCTTTGTTGTATTTCATTGCCCAGCGGCCTTCTTTCGACAAGAGGCCAGCACCTCGCGAATCTAGGAGAGAATTTCTTCTCCGGTAACAGAGGATGCTGCCAGAAGTTTTGTGATGAGAGCCTGTTTAGAAGCTGCCGCAAGGAAGGCCTGAGAAGAAAGGTTTATAATATACAAGATATAGTGTATACAGCGTGCCTTTGCACTTCATTGAATATACTTAATGTGAGCCTATAGTCTAAACTGTGTAGGTGGCTGACTAACTTACGTCTAGTATAAGCTTGCGTTACATAGACTCGAGACGCTTTGCCTCGTTGTTTGCAGCGTGCCAACCAAGCATTAACTGCATCCCGTATGTCTCCAAGGTATAGGCAGCTACTTGTCCTTGGAGTTATTTGAGATGGCTCTTTACGCATTCTGGTAGGTATTATAATGCTTTATGAAGCTGGCATTGGCTCACACAGCAAACAGAGGACTGTTGTCATACGAATGGGACTTGGGGCGGTGACGATGCTCTCTTTTCTCAAAGCTGTCAAATCTTAATTTCTGTGATCCGTAGGGTAATGGGGGAGTTCGTGACGCATGGGTTGCACACGAGAGTAATTGTTTAGCCGAAGTGTTACGTAATCTCGAACGAAGCGGTGTCAGTCCGTAATTAATAAGAAACATTGCTGTTGCATCTTGTGGTTGCAAAACATGAACTATTGAATTAGGTTATAGAATAAAGACCGAGAAATGTACATCGATGCAATCGCCATCTTGAACCACAAAGCTGGCGTGACCGCGGCAGATCAAGTACTCTTTAGACAACTTTTATCGGGCCCCGATAGATGTGTCTGCTCCAGACTAAATAATATCTCATAGTCCACAGAAGGACAAATACAAAGCTCAATAACGACCAAGGTATTGACTGCGGATCCAGCTGTGACGACAGGATCGCGGGGAAGAACACAACGAGTAAAATAAGTGCCATGTAACACTATGAGATGACGAGTTGTCAACAGATATTTGAACTTTGAACTTTGAACTTTGACTAGTCCCATCTACATTAATCCATGACATACATTGCTCTAGAGGGCTACAAAGCTCCTGTCATAACCCTTAAGTACCTATCTAACAGTGTCTTGACTCCCTCTTCATGTTTCGTTCAGTTTACTAGAGCAACTGTCTATAATTCAACGCCTTTAAGTAAAGAGTTGGGTCTCGTCTGATTACTTACAGTGGTATCTCGACACGGTTGTTCCTCATGATCTGGTCGACCGCCCACTGCCCGAGCTCGAAGCCCGGAAGTGAGGTTGTTACGCACGCAGAATAACTCAGCATCACTACTAGTACCTAATTCTGCCATAGTAACAGGTCTGCTAGGCGAGTGGTCCAAGGTTTACTAGACAGAGTGCTTGCATTGTGAGTGCCTGTATGCTTGCCAGCGCAGGTCATTTGCCTGGTTAACGGCGGCCAACGCCGAGGATAACGGCAACCAAAGCAACCAATAACGCAATGGAAAATTTCTTGCAAAAGTCAATCGACTCTGAGATTCCGAAGGAATGTTGCAATGGACATGGCGGCCAGTCTTTGCCAGAACGAGCCGTCAATGGTATAAAGTCCAACACTCCACCGCCGGACACGATTCTCGCAAGATTGCCCACGAGCAAATCTCCGCAATGGCCCATTATGTACCGGGCGAATATCCAGTGAAACGGCCCATCTAAGGCCTCGAGTCTAGTGACATAGCGAGCATCCCCATGAACAGTATCAAGACGTCTGGCCTGTTTCTGGTTGAATCTTTCCAGCACGTTGTTCAGCTCTCTCTCCGACGGCTTGTCTGGATGGTTGGCCTTGACCAGAGTCCGCAGCTGGTTTGTCAAAGCTGCCACAGCTTCAATCGCAGTATTTGCGCCTTGTCCCATGTTGGGAGACATCTGCTTCAATCAATATCCCAACTCTGACCAAATGGAAGGGTAACACCAACCTTGCTGACGCTGTCTCCAATACAAACAATTCGTCGGTAGTGCCAATTCCTAAACATGTGCTCTTCCAGCGGAACCAGAGCAAAGGTGGTTCTTTGTTTCCATACATCGCGGAACTTGATGTCTTTCCAGACAGGGAAATCCCCAACCGACTCGCAAACTTTAATGGCATCGTCTTGTGTGAAGCGCGGGATGTTGGGATACTTGTACTTTTGCTTCAACTTGTAGATGACATTGAAAAAGACATCAGTGCCGCTTGCAGGGAAGAATAAGAAGCAAAAGTCTTTATTGTATCGGATAATGTGCTCCCACCGACCCTCGCCTGGAACCGCTTTACATAGTCCGAAAACGCATGCGAATTCCGCGGACAATCCTAGAAAAGAGACGTCAATTGCAGGCTTGGCTAGGTTCAAAATTCAACTCACCAGATTTTTTCTCTTCCGTCATGAATCCAGCCTGCTCCGAGTTTCCAATCCGCCACATTTCAGAGCGCACAGCGCTGTGAACACCATCCGCTCCAACAACAAGGTCACCCTGGTAGGTTGTCCCATCTGCAGCCGTGACAGACACATTTGATTTCCCATGGCAAATCTCGACCACCTTTTTGTTCATGTGGATCCGGGACTTGTCCTCAAATGCCGAGTACAAAACATTCAGAAACTGTTGTCTCGCAATAACACAGAATGGCAAGCCAAATCTATGCCCTAGTTAGTTTGCGACTTGTTTGTTGACCAAAAAAAACGTCTTGCCTTTCCACTATGTTGCCCGGGCTCTCAGTCTCGATGCAGTGCCCGTCAGGCATATATTGGTATATTTTCGTAATGGGTTCATAGAGCTCGTCCACCTTGGAGTAGACACCTAGCTGCTCCAAGATGCGGGAGCCGTTGGGCATCAGGCCGATGGAAATGCCAGGCTCTGCAAATATGTCTTCATGTTTTTCAAGAATGACATAATCAATTCCAGCGCGGTCGAGACAGTGTCCCAACGTCATTCCAGTGATGGAGCATCCTACAATGATTACCCTGAATGAAGACTTTTCCATTGTTATAAACTGGATATCGCCCAGGGCTAACTAATGACGAAAGTCCAAATTCAATGCCAGTGCATATAATGACGCAGAGAATCATTGTAGCGTAATTCGGTGTGTTTATATAAGGCGGGTCATTCGCCAAACACACAATCATTCAAATATTGCACGATACAATGTAACAAAAAACGACAGCTTTTCAACGCGTCCAAAATCAGCACATTGTCGGTCCGTTTTTTTTTTTTTGAATAAATTCATCCCCAGATAGTCTACGTATCCTTTCGTGTGCTCTGCTCACACTAGAATCGCAAGAGTGTCATTCATGCGAGGCTCGTGAGCTGACTGGTAGACTGCAGCCTCAGCTTGCATGCCCATTCTCGAGTTGTGGATCATGCTACATGCACCATGCAACCCCAAGCGCATCTGTTGGGTGGCTTGATGATGTAGTCTGATGTGGGAGCAATAACAGAGCTCCAGTAGGGCCGAGCAAAAGACAATATTCATTGAATAAAGCCACAGCGTGGATTTGTTGGCGACCTGGTGAGCCGTGCCGATACACTTGATCCCTGCACACAATATCCTCCGCCCCAGAGTCGGTACATGTACCTATAGTGCTGGAACTAGTTTGTTGAAAAAACTCAATGAAATACCATGGGTAACCTTGACCCGGCACTCAGCCCCCACAAGGATTGGCATTTACAATTTTCCTCGCAGAAGTAACCAGAAGCCCAAGCATACCGTGATTTGATGGGGGACAACAGCAAGCACATTCTAAATCATCTTCCAAGACACCAAAAACATTGAAAAGCCTAGCATAGGCCCTTAAACGTTACAAACTTCGATACAGAGCAAGAGACATCAAATCAGGATTCCATGGCTCAATTAACAAAATACATCTTGCCAATCTATGGCCTTTTAGGGCTTTACAGCCTTGGGTACTTCTCTTACCGCAATGGCTACATCGACATGGTCTTGGAAAAGCGCGAAGCGTGGCTTTCCTCGCCCTCGACGGACCCGAGGAAACGGCCACACACGACTGGCATTCAATCGCTCGACGAAACTTTGGCCACCATGTTTGTCTTTTACTGGCCCGTCCTTGACGGCAGCTTCCCCGGGCTAAGCCTCATGTTTTCCAATTATTTCGGAACCATCACATTGTCCCTTGTCTTGGTTTCTTTGGAGTCCCTAAGGAAAGGCAACAGGACGTCGTCATCGTGAGTTATTGCCCTCTGTACTCTTTGCAGTCTAGTTGGTAGCTAAATGCATCCGTTTGAGTAGTTCAACCTTCTTCAGTCCCACACTATGGGGAATGATTGGCATCATGGTGACACTGGCGATTTCGATACCGTGGTACCTCACAGTACACCTCCTCATTTCCAGCACCGCGTCTCACCCTACCATTGAAAACTTGTCCATCCCGATACATGAATTGCGAGCTCTGATTTTCAATGTTGTGTTTGGACTCGTTTTGCCTTGTCTGGCAGTGGCTCTGCCAGAGAGCATAACCGGGCTGCTCTTTACCAGACAGTCAGCAATCGCGCTGTGGCAGTTGTGGCCGTTTTGGAGCACTGCAGTGCATTTTATTGCAAAGCAGTTTATCCCCGTCGCAGAGCGTGACGCGGATCCGAGGGCCCAATGGGAAAAGACTAGGACAGCATTTCGTCTTGTCTACGGGTTAACATTTGCGGTAGCAGCCATCACACATGTTTCAACGTGGGCCATCTCACTGACTGCTGCGTATGCTCTGCCAAACCTCTTGACCGTCGAGACAGTCTCTGCTCTCCACCCGACCAACGTCTTCTTGAACACTTGGCCGTGGTTGCCCATCAAGACGGACTCGATTGGTCAAGGGACGCTCTGGCTAATACAATGGGATCAGGTTTTTGCGGCAGGCGCCATGTACTGGTGGAGTCTTGATCTATATCGAGCTGCACACGCAACCCAGGGCAAGAAGATGGATTGGGGTTGCTTGGCACTCAAATCGATGGCATTTTGTGTTGTATCCGGCTTTACGGGTGCTGCGGTGGAGTTGCTTTGGGAAAGAGAGGAGATGGTTATGGAGGCTGGGCGACCTAAACAAAAGACAAAGTGATACGGCATTAGCAACTCTGTCGATAGCACCTTTAAAACTTGTTAATAGAGATGGTGTGTCAGAACAATCTAGAGCAAGAGACTCCATTTCATTCCATGCCGGCACAGCTTACTTGCCAGCGGTGCTGTCTGTCCGGGCCTCGGTCCGTAACGGAGAAGGGAGTCTGGCGCCTTTCAGCAAAACTTGTTCAATTCATGCACAGAGGCAGTAAATTGACTATCCAATCCTTCTGTTGGCATTCACACTCCTCTTTGAATAGCTGCACCCGAGGACCTAGTTTACTGTCATTTCAACCTTGCATGCATCAACTTCATCAGCAAGTTGATTCGAGACGTGTAGATCAAAGAGTTATGTTATTTATGACTATTCATCCAACGCCACAGAGTGGAGAATACTTGTCGTGTTGGATTTTGATTTGCTCCATGATTACCTCAACCAAGGCATGGATAGTGATGGTCGTCAAGCTCTCTCCCGAGTCTTAGACCTTTCCTCCCGCCCATGTGACGCCGTAATCGCAATTCCTGACAATCAGCCCTGCCGCATCGTACCAACTAAGACTCACACCACGCATTTCAACGCTGTCTCCGACTTTGAAACCCTTGGCCGCCCCATCGGCCGAGATTCCTTCTTCAGTATTCTTGAATTTAAATTTTAGAATCCTAGGCCATCTTTCTTTAGCATCACATTGCGGTTTGGTCGTGGAAAAAGAGCGATAAAGGGTCGCAAAGGGGCCATACCATTCTCCAGCAGTGAAATTTCTATCACCCGAAACTCTCACTTGAATGAGATGGATATTGTCGACTTCAGTAAACATTTTCTCGATGTAGGATCGAGTTGAATTGTAGTTCATGTCTAGTGCTGCGATAGCTAAGGGGGGAGTTAGTTTGCAACATGGCAGAAGGAGACAAGCGGCAAGTGGTAGGGATAGATAGAAGTGAGAAAAGAAGGCAAATAATTACTGTAGTCGCTGTAAGATAGTTCGGGGGAGAAAAAAGACATGACGCGGTCAACGTCGGCGCCATCGTTAAATGCCGCTATAAATGCTTCATGACGGGCTTTGACCAGAGCTTGGTCCTCTGGGTTTATAAACATGGTAGACATGGTGACGGGTTGGAAGTTAGTTGAGGTGAAGAACGGTTAGCGATGTTTCTGGTCGATGTGGCATTCCATGAACTGACATGGAGGTATTTAAAGAAGGGGGCACAGGCATTGTCTCAGCACGTTGACTGTGTTGCTTCCGTAATCCTCCGTGTCTTTTACTGCCTCACCGAACCCCCCTTGCTATCAAGAAAACGGAAAATTCTTATCAGCTGAGCGTAGAGGCAGTGGTACCCACACATACGCGCAATTATTGTTCCCAAACGAAACCTTGCGGGTGCGGCTACTGCTTGTAGTATATCTGCCAAGTTCTGCGCTTACCGCGCGATAGCCCTCATGTCGTTTTTACTCAGTAAACCTTTTGTGCTTTGGGCTTGTCTCTTGGCCTTTTTTGTGCATTCTGTCTTGATGTTGGCAGCCCGGCTTGGCGTCGTCTTCAAAACATCTGAAATCCGATCAATAACAACCAATGGGACGCTAGTAATGCATAAAAGGTGATACTACTGGAAGTTTTTACATGTAGAAGCTTTGATGCCGGGTAGGGGACGGGTTAAACGTATAACTAGTTGGCTGATAGAAACCGAAGAACTGTAGTCCATATCTCATACTTCAATATCCGCTTTATTTGACACGACAATTTACGTCCTTGGTAGCATGACGATTATTTTAGCCGTGTTTTATTTTATAGAGGAATTCTCCTTAAGTGCTTTTTTTTTGGTCCTGATTTCGTCAACATGACTTGAGCTGGTGGGTGACAGGGACCTCGGTGACTATAGGGTGGGTAGCGTATCCCTTCCATGATTGACGCCTAGACAGTGGCATTCGCCCTCAAATTCAGGCCCTGACAAGAGGAGCATGTCATTGGAACATTGCTTTTATTGTACCAGTTGACCTTTCGGGCCATCTTGTATGGAATACTTTCATCTCCCTCAACTACTTGGCTAGGTTGGCCTAGTTTCGACTATAATTGCCCTTTATTCAAGCTCCAGCCTGGCTTAACAGACATTGCAGGAGTAATGTCTTCAAGGGGTTGAGGTTTGTATAAAAATGAAGCAGCATCTCTGTGAATAACCCAACGCATAATATACCTTGGGTGAGAGATGCTGTAACTGTCCAAGCTGAGTATATTCATAACTAGCTAGGCGACTACTACAAGTACCTAAACGCTAGAAAAAAAGAAGACACCTCAGGGTGCTTTGAAGCTCCCGAACTTGATGCGTGAGTCATTTCGCTTGTTGGTGGGCAAAGAGCAGTAGGTCGGATCCCAAGGTCATGGCTTAAACCGAGCCATATCGGGCTCAGCCTGTTGCGGATGCGGCTATAAATAGTCGGCATTGAGCTTTCAACCAACGGCCCAAAGAGTTGGTTTAGGTTCCAATAAACAGGAATTAGACGGAGTGATAAACGGCTGCTGCTTTCAAATCACACAGACTTGTCGTCGGCTGCTGTTCTCACATGGGTCGCTCGGAGAGATTTTAGTACTTTTTGGACATTGTGGCTGCCATATCCGCGGTTCAGGAATAAGCTCTGAGCAATTGGATTTACCAGGTTCAAAATGTCGATCAACCCCGTCTTGGAATTTTGTATAGCCCGCTCTATTTCCTTGATCATCTTGGCGGTGACGGCCGTATTCTTCCTACGCGCTAGTTTAGTACAAGTCTCCGTGGTAGAGAGAAGCGTAAGAAGGGGAAGAAAGGGCTGTACATTATTCCTGAAAACTTTGAGGAGCATAGAATCAGAATACTAGGTCCAAGAGGATCAGCTAGCATCCACCATCTCTTTCCATACCGCTTCCTATCGTGAAATTTGGCTCGCATCTCAGATTTTTCTTCAGAGCTAGCAGCAGCCCACTCCGGATAGGTATTTTTAATAATATTATCAATCAAGCAACTAATACCTCCTCTTCCCACTCCTGTAGCTGGCTTTTCACAGGTGGCTGTGCGGTTTTTCCACGTGCGGCAAGCCTTTTCATATTCCAGGTGAAGTAGGACCATAGCCATCCTGCTTCTGATAGCATCATCTCCCATCTGCCTATCTAACAGGCACACATTCCAGTAGGCCTTTTGTAAGCTTTCGTATCCGTCAGCGCCCTTGGCCTCGTTTGGAAACCAGACTGTACGCCAAATACCATCTCTGACCCAGCGTGGCAGGTTTGTTTCCAAAAATTCGACATAGTCGGCCCGAATGCATATGCGTAGTGCATAGTTGACCTTGAGCAAAGCTGCATCGGAGACGCTAGTCAGAGCCTTGGCTGCATCGTGAGGTGTGTTGCTAACGGGAGAATGTGTGTCGCCAACAAGGCACTCTTCGGGTGAGTCGAAGTCGGATGAGGGAGTCTTTCTGGAAAAGTATACGGCATTGCTCTTTCCGGAACGCGGAGTCCGCGGCCCTCCATTTCCGTTATTTCCGCCCTCTGCGGCAATTGACAGAGAGTTGTCGAATTCCACGACGATGGAATCCCCTAAGGGACCGGCTGGGCTGGGAGACCGGGCATTTTGTATCATGCGTGTCACCGCAGCTGGCTGGTTGGGGCAAGATCCGCTCATACCGCCTCCTGTCAAGTCGGCATGGCCCTCAAATTGCATCAAGTCAAAGTCTGGTAACGGCAATATGCAACCCCCTAACAGCCCCTTACTGGAGGCTATCCACTGATATTAGCCTGGGTGGCATGCGGGATCCATGCTGTCCCCTTGTCACTCCAACGGGTTACTTACGAGAAGTCATTTTATGCACTGCGTGGTTGGTGCTTGGCAGCCCTAGGCCGAAGTTACGCGCCTAGAGACAGAGCATCCTGGTTACTTCCACTCTGAAGACGACGGTAGTATCGGGGCCGGGTCCAAACCTGGGAGAGGTCAATGTCAATTGCGGCGGGGTTATTTTGCCTTGAGGGACCCAGTTCAACCCTATATTCAGAGCTCTGGGTATAAACGACATCGTCCTCGTGTCTATCGGCGGCGTAATCAGCCAGTACCTTGTTCGTAAGGGCGGGACTCGTAAGCCCTTTCTGATATGGGCAGCCGAAGTCGTGTGTTTGGGTTGCTCCCAGATTGAAATCGGGGGTCTCTGCCGATATCCACATGTCGTTGCTGCGAATAATGACGCAACCGGTTAGTTAACTCAGGAGCGGCCGATAACTATCCCCATTGCCGAGGCTTACACTGGCGATTGCTCGTGTTCAAGGACCAGTACGGGTTTGACAGAGACAACATCTCCTACGACCACCGGCCGGTATTTGATTCTGAACGGACTGAGCCGGCTTGCGAGGGCATCGAGAGCGGTAACATCACCTTCGTCAAGGAGCGATCTTGTTGCCTCGATGAAATGATGTGTATTATCTGAAATCGGTGTGTAGGTGGACAAGGACTCTGGCTGCGCATAGCATGCCATACTGAGAATTAGCAGTAGTCTTTCTCGGTAAGTGGTGATGGATTGGATAGTGCCGCCATTAACACCTTTGGGGTTATATCTGGAAGATGGCACCTTTAAATATATGAGCATCACCACGACCAATCGTGACAGAAGTTCCAGATACTTCGTGACTGGGATAAGCACAATAAGCGTGCAAGATTATAAAGCCACACCACTAGCCCTGTATACACCTAGAGAGCATGCCCGACGGGTTAATGTTCCTACGAGTGAAACGCACAAATTTGGTCTAATATACTTGGCAATGTTTTGTCAGTGACTTGTCTACTTGACGATAACTTACACCGTGGTTTGTTTCATTTCAACTAGTTATGTCCGTTTCTTCTTTTTCATTTCTTTTTTTTATAATACTAGTAATGCGTCTTATCTTTTCCGTTGTTGCGTAGACACACAGTGGCTTAGTTCCAGAGAGCAACTTTATACCTGCTTCTTTGAGACTGCCAAGACTACCAGACCCTCTGACAGTCGCAAGAACTATCCAAACAAAAAGTACGATCCATAACAACGTGCATGGCAGAGTCTCCTATAACAGAGGCATAAATAATTCCGTTGGCGGGAATTATTGTGGACAAAGGAAATAACCTGCAGGCTCGGTAGCATTATAGAATTGAGCATATGCAAGACAGCATGTATTAATAAATGTGGTAATTTGCAGTCGCGGCTACGGCATTACAACTCGCAAGTCAGTCAAAAGTCAAGGATTAAGCAATACACGTGACGTGATTTGGGAACCCCAGGTTCGCTCACAGGTGCACAAAGATTCCACACGTTAAAGGGCGCAGCATTGATCACGTTTATGCGTTATAGTTCTCTCACCTATATTTCAAGCAATCCGCCAGCGCCCGACGCCAGCATGGTCGCGGCAGGTCTGGGTGAAACGAGCAAATACCGAACCAGGCATAAATTGCCATCCGGACGGCACCGAACCGAGAGTAGTTCACGCCATGGAGGCCATTTAAGGTTAAGGCCAGGCCAGGATATTACGAAATAGAGTTTAGATGAGCCGGATAGGTGGAGATGCAATTAGCCAAGGCACCTTGCCATAGGCTGCGGAGTACTCGGCGGAAACAAGCTAAGCCTCAACTGACTCGCGAGCTAGGCTGATAAAACGCCATCCTGACCTGACCGGCAAGTCCCATCATTTGTCCGAGAACTATGCCCATTTCGCCACTAATACCCGAGAGGACGCTTACGTAACAGCTCCTGTATGGCGGTCAATCTACATAATACGCTGCCTGCTTGACAGGAGAGAAGGGTAGGAGCCCGTGGCTAGCATGGACTTAAGTCTACCGCCGATCCAGATAAGATTATACCCGAGGAGCAAAACCAAATGCCGAGAGGCATGCTGGCATCTCTCCGAATTACTTCGGGCGGGGCGAATGCGCATAGCGAAAGCAGCCAGATGCAGTCTAGCGCCGGGTCATGCCGCGCCCTATCCGCGTGTCTCGTATTTATGTCCTTGTAGGCCATCCAGGTGCGTAAGTGTCAAAACCTCAACTAGGAGTTAAGTTCAGTTTAATGCCTATCTCCTAGAGTCAAATAAAAAGGGAGAGCTCCGAGAGTTTTGTTTTCCGTTAATTTGAATCCTTTATATAGCCCTTGCATGCTTGATCCCCTTGTAGTCTGAATAGGTTGTAATTTTGAAAATGCAAATAACGTAGATAACAGCCGGCTTGGCGTTGGCTGAAGCTTTACTTGCTCAAGCTAGAAGCGTCCAAGGACTTTTATACCTAGTAGCCTAGGGAATCGTATGTTGCGACCCAGACTACAAGTTGCAGCCAAGCCCGCAAGATAGACCGGCTACACGAGCCAGTCTGCGATGGCGGGTACAACCGGGAAAATACCGGGAAAAGAGAGCCTGTACTATACAACTCCTGAATTATTGTTAAAGGGATTGATACTTAGCGCCGCTTCCTCTAGCAGTACACACCGCTTTTACAGCTATTATATGCTTGCTTTTTTAAAGCTAATAAGTAATATAAGGTGAATTTATATAGTATTAAGTGTAATTACAAAAGTTCATTATTATATAAACAGCCTTCTAAAAGTTATAATTATAAAAATATTAATAAAAATATATTATTAAAAGCTAAAAAATATTAAAAAAATAAAAAGAAATTAAGAAAGAATTAAGAAGAATATTATAAAGCTAATAAATAAAAAAGAATATTATATTATAATATTTCCTTTTATTATAAAAAGTAATTAAATTTAATAATATAATACTTATATATATACTTTTATACTAGTATATTTATAAGAATTTATTTTCCCTAAAAAAATATAATATATACTTACTATTATATATTTTATTTATAAAGAATAATATAGAAACTAAATTAATATAAGTTAAAATATAAATATATAACTACCCTAAGCCAATTTGTTGAGAAAACTCAACGAATTACTGCGCAAATACTCCGAAACGCGTGGCACGCTAGCTATCTCCTTCGGTTGAGGAAACTTGAATAGCTAAAAATTATAGATTGACACGTATACGCTTTCAAGCCCGGCGGGGTTTCCCAAAGAGCTTTGATTCAATTCAACAAACAATTACTGCATAGGATTATGAATTTGTGGTTTGGTCGCAGTGGAAGTTTTTTCAGATTTGTCTCTATCAAGAAAAGAGGGGAGTCAATTTACTCTGCTTTTTCTGATCCACAAGTGCACAGTCATGTCACAACGGCAAGATTCGCTCGACAAGCTTTAATACATCACAATACCTTGACAGGGTCGCCTAGAATGTGGGTGTCTGAAACTGCCTGTTGTTTTTAAAATCTTTAGTCGCCTCTTTTTTTCCCTTCTTCCCTTTCCTCTTTTCACCTTGTTGAACATTACCCAACTTTAGTTTTAAGAGGCCTCCTATGCCCTATTCTTCTACACACCTGAAGCAAACTACCATCATGGAATCCAAAGACAACTACTATAATCCCCTCGTTCTGTGGGTATACGATTTCTTTGTGCAAGTTCTCACAAACACCTTCTGGTGGCGCTGTTCCACCAAATCCGTACTTACTCCCTTCTTCGTCGACAACGCCAGTCCTAATCATATGGAAGTGGGAGCTGGAACGGGCTACTACCTTCGTGCAAAGCTCGATCATGAAAAAAGGCGCATTAAGCTCGGCGACAACACAACTACATGGCCTCAGAAACTGACACTTGTCGATTTCCACACACAATGTATGGAAAAAGCCGTGAACCGCATCAAGTCGGACTGTCCCGTTAAGCCTGAGTGCGTGCTTGCCAATATTATGGAACCTATTCCTCTCAAGGCGCAGAAATTCGACTCTATCTCCCTCATGTACGTCTTGCACTGCATTCCTGTCTCCCCAGCCGCCAAAGGTCGGGTTTTCGCAAATTTGAAACCGTTTCTTCATGACGAGGGGACGCTCTTTGGTTGTACAGTTTTGGGCAAGGGAGTAAAGCACAACCTTATTGGCAGCTTTTTGATGTGGTTGTATAACTACATTGGCATGTTCGGAAACTGGCAAGATTCCAAGGAAGATTTTTTGGTATCGTTGAGAGAGAACTTCGAGATTGTTGAGAGTGAAGTTGTTGGGGTTTCGCTGCTTTTCAAGGCGCAAAGGCCAAGACGCTGATACGGAATGCTGTTTGGGGCGAGGCGTAGGAGGTTTATAAAGTAGAGCTATAACAAAAATACATCTCTTACTCGCTTGGATATACGGGATTTGACCTCTTATATATGCAAGTTATAGGTAGACAGAGTCCGTCGTCCGCGTTTTCAGATATATAATGCAGCAAAATAGCAGGCTATTATCACCACCGTGTCTCTACTCTTTTCTTTCATGCATATGTGATAGCTTTGAAAGAAATCGATAAATAAATTGCAAGTATTTGCTCTATATCGCTGTATATAGTTTAAATAATTACTCTATTCCATTTTTAATTTACAGTTTCAGACCAAGACGTAAACTCATTAAAGACAAGAAAGTATAACCTGCAACTTAGTAATATTTGACATGTATAGAAAATGAACTCGAGACGATAATCGTCATGGAAAAGCTTATTTGTGAGAGTAGATACCAATTGCACAATTACCTCTTTCGTCGACCATGAATCTCTCTCCGCTGTTCTTGCTTCGGAATTATTTGTAGCCCTACGTGCCTGCCAGTAATAAACTGAGGGAAACGTGTAAGTTTACTCTTCCCTCCCGCATAAAAAGTGCAATAAAATTAAGAAGAAAAAAACTTATTAATTTATCTACAATACACAATCTCTAAATCGTCGTTATTACAAAGTAATCGCCGGTAATACAAAGCTACCGGGTAGGCGTTTAGATTGCGGAGGCATATCGAGTCATGCTTACGGTTTACCATGCTCCAAGCGAGCCGACCCCCTGCAAATTCTACAGAACAGTATGCTGCCTTTCAAAGACCCTTGCAATAAAAGCCACGGAATAAAATATAAGATGCTCAGTCATTCGAAATCGAGTTATTCATACACAATTGGGTAAGTTCTAGAAAAGCAACCTATGAGTCATCCAGAACAGACTAGACAGAGTAGAATGTTGGACTTTTTTTTGCAAGTAGTGATTAAGCATACATATGGACCCAGTATACTATGTAGAAGTATGCAAGAAACCTGTTACACCTTGGTACTCCTTACTCAAAAATGGACTGATTGTGCAGGGGGTCAAAAGGCGCAACGGGTATGCCTAGCTCGCTTGTGGAGTACATTGTGCTCACGGCTAAATTTATCATGTATTCTACAATCTGATTTATTGAGAAAACTCAATGAAATATTATGCTTGTGGAAAGGTAGACTGCCCCGTTTCAACCGGTGTTTTCAGTGACTATGTCCTGTGTGGACTGCGTCTTCTGGCACTGGGCACCAAGCACTTCGCCAGCAGGTAATGGGGAAAGCCACGCCAATTGTGCTCATGCGAGATACTACTCTGTTGGTATTGAGTCTATTGATATAACTGACCCTCTGCACTTGGAAAAGTCATGGTCGTCGCATCTTAAATACCTGTCCAATTATCCCCCGTCGCTGCGCTTCCAATCTCCATCTCGACAACTCCCCCGTACGCACATTTCAACACTTGGTCTTGTATCTTTAACAAATACATAAACTGAAAAACCGACACCATGACACCAGAGCCAATAGCCATCGTTGGGTCGGGCTGCAAATTCCCTGGATCTTCTTCATCGCCATCACGTCTCTGGGAGCTTATCAGCAAGCCGAAGAATGTCGCCACCAAGCCACCACCGGACCGTTTCAACATGGATGGTTTCTACGATCCAAATCCAGCAAATCCATTGACCACAAATGCCAAAGAATCATACTTTATTTCCGAAAATATAAGGGCATTCGACGCGTCCTTCTTCAATATTGCGGCAAATGAAGCGACTAGCCTGGACCCCCAGCAACGGTTGCTACTGGAAACTGTTTACGAGTCTCTGGAAGCTGCTGGCCTAAGAATGGAAGCTCTTCGAGGTTCATCCACCGGCGTGTTTTGCGGAGTTATGTGTGCAGACTGGGAAGCCGTTGTGGGATTGGACAAGGCTGTCCCAGAATATGTGAGTAGACTGGTCGAAATGGCGAGGTCCTCGAGAGCGTTTCCGAAATTGAATCATGAGTTCAACATCAAACTCGCTGAGAAATGATGCTCTGGGTCATCTTACTGTCGTTGAGTGATGCTGACCACAATATCCTCGAATTTAGGCCATTTCCGGCCTTGCACGTAATAACCTGGCCAACCGCATCTCCTACTTTTTTGATTGGAACGGCCCCTCCATGTCCATTGACACGGCTTGTTCTTCAAGTATGGTGGCTCTGCATCAGGGCGTCTGTGCTCTACAGAATGGCGAATGCGCAACCGTAGCCGTTATAGGAACGAATCTGATCTTGTCTCCCAACTTGTACTTTGCGGCGTCGAATGTCAAGATGCTATCACCGGAGAGCCGTGGCTACATGTGGGATCACAGGGCAAATGGTTACGTACGAGGAGAAGGAATAGCCTCCTTGATCCTCAAGCGACTGAGTGACGCCGTGGCCGACGGCGACCCGATAGAATGTGTAATCAGAGCCTCGGGTGTGAATCAGGTATGCTTTACGCTCTTCTACTGCAACTCTTATTTGAGAAAGGGTTGTAGCAATGACCATTCTGATTCCAACTTTCTGACGATGCATCACCGCAGGATGGGAGGACACTAGGCTTGACCATGCCTTCGGGCAAAGCGCAGGCGCAGTTAATTCGGTCAACTTATGCCCTGGCAGGACTTGACCCGACTCGTCCAGAGGATCGACCACAATATTTTGAAGCTCATGGCAGTAAGTGGCCAACATGCCCTCTTCACTTCGGCCTCTGTCGAGTCATGTCTAACAATGGATGATAGCGGGCACACAAGCTGGAGATTACCAGGAGGCTACTGGTATCTACAGCACCTTTTTTGGAGCGAGTCCAAAAACATCCACGGACGACGTGTTGCATGTGGGGTCCATCAAGACGGTCATCGGCCGTAAGTATTGCAGATTTCTCAACCCGACGCGAGTTTGCAGTGTTTGCTTTATGTGAAGATGTGCTGATGTTGAGTTGCAAATACTAAGACGGCGAGGGGTGCGCTGGTTTGGCTGGTATAATCAAGGCATCCTTGTGCATACAGCATGGCACGATCCCTCCCAATCTTCATTTTGAACGATTGAACCCCAAGCTGGAGCCTTATTCATCATGTCTCAAAGTTCCAACTGAACCTGTGCCCTGGCCACAGCTACCGCCTGGGGTCCCGCGTCGCGTTTCAGTCAACTCTTTGTAAGTTTACACACGGCCAGGTGCCCATGTTTAGCAAACAGACGTTAGCTGACGCGCAACATGTAGTGGATTTGGTGGCACGAACTCACACGCTATCCTGGAGAGTTACGAGCCAAACCTGCACCGGAACCCAAAAAGCCACTTGAATGGGACGAGCAAACACCCGCCTTCCTTGCTCCCGTTCGTCTTTTCGGCTGCTTCAGAACGGAGCCTTGGGGCTGTTCTCGACAAGTATGCCAGATACCTCAAGGAAAATCCTACCGTCAAGGCTGCAGACTTGGCCTGGTCGTTGATGGAAAAGCGTTCGGCGCTCAAGTACCGACTGACGCTATATGCGCCTACTATCGAGGAGCTACAGACCGAGATCGAAAAAGAAATGGCACTTCGGAAGGCTGATAACCCATCCACAGTCATATCGCGTCCTGATACCGGGAAGAAGAGTATTCTCGGCATCTTTACAGGTCAAGGCGCACAGTGGCCGCAAATGGGACTGGATCTGCTCTCGACTTTCCCAGTCACCCGAGGCTGGTTTGAAGAGCTGCAAGAATCGCTAGATCAGCTACCTGCCGAGTACCAGCCAGACTTCTCCTTGATTGAAGAGCTGGCTGCTCCAAAGTCATCGTCTCGAATTCAAGAGGCGGCTGTCGCACAGCCTCTCTGCACTGCCGTCCAGATTGTGCTGACCAGGCTCCTCGCTACCCTTGGGATTTCTTTTGATACAGTCGTGGGCCATTCCTCAGGCGAAGTTGCTGCTGCGTACGCTGCCGGCGTTCTAAACGCCCATGATGCGATACGGATTGCATATCTCCGAGGGAGGGTAAGTTGATAAGCTTCTACCAAGCTCGGCTGCTAAGTTTTCACAACACTGACTTGACTACGTAGGTCGCCCATCTTGCCGGTGCCAATAACAGAGCCGGTAGTATGTTGGCCGCGGGCCTGTCTGTCCAGGAAGCAACGGACTTTTGCGAGAAGCCCGAGTTTGCCGGACGCATTAGCATCGCAGCGTGCAATTCCCCATCCAGTGTCACCCTTTCGGGCGACGCAGATGCTATTCAAGAGACTGACCTGCTGCTGAAAAGCCAGGACAAGTTTGCCCGTCGGTTGCTTGTAGACACGGCATATCATTCGCACCACATGCAGCCCTGCTCGGACCCGTATCTTCGTGCCATGACAGGATGTAAGATTCAACTGGGACAACCAACTGCCACGACGTGGTTCTCGACTGTGCACGCGGGCAAAACCATCAACGCTTCAAGCCATGGCACTGCTCTGGTGGCAGAGTACTGGAAGGACAACATGCGCAACCCTGTCCTTTTCTATCAAGCCTTGATGGCAGCCATCGCGGCCTCTCCTCCCGGTCTGATCATCGAAGTCGGACCACATCCTGCCCTCAAGGGACCGGCTCTGCAGAGTCTCTCCGAAGTCTCCCAATCAGCCTCATCAACCCCGTACATTGGCACCCTGAGTCGTGGTTCAACCGGAGTGCAGGCGCTTGCCGTTACCATTGGCTCTCTCTGGACGCAGCTTGGAGCAGAGGGGGTCAACGTTGACCAATACATGTCCCTCTACGACCAATCTAGGAAGCTGCAATTCATCCAAGATTTGCCCTCTTACCCCTTTGATCACAGCCAGTCATATTGGACCGAGACGCGAAGATCCAAAGCCTACCTTGGCCGGGGCCGGCGCCATGAGCTTCTCGGGGATCTGAGCGAAGAAGTCACTGAGGGAGAATGGCGGTGGCGCAACTTTTTGTTCCAGAGAAATCTTGAATATCTCGAAGGGCATCAGATCCAATCCCAGACAATATTCCCCGCAACTGGATATGTGGCCATGGCATTAGAAGCCGCCGCACTCATGGCAGATGGACGAACCATGCGTCTCGTGGAGATTAACGACCTCGTCATCAACCAAGCCATTGCCTTCCTTGACGATAACAAAGGCATCGAAACCGTGTTCCGAGCATACCAAGTACGATCCGAGGGTAGCGTTACCAAGGCATTCTTCAGCTGCCATGCCGATATTGGAGGGACACTCAAGACTTGTGCCTCTGGCCAGATAGTTGTGACTTGGGGCAAGGTGGATGCAAATCTTCTGCCTACGCAGCCTCCGTCCGTCTCCGGAATGTCAGCCGTAGAGACGGATGAGTTCTATGCCTCGTTGGGCAATTTGGGCTACGGCTACACGGACTTGTTCCGCGGCATCACGCAACTAAAGCGCAAGCTGAATACGTCCCGCGGCCTTCTTAACAATGTTGAAAGCGATTCTCTTCTTCTGCACCCTGCGACAATGGACTGTGGATTGCAATGCCTGCTTGGCGCCATTGGGGCGCCTGGCGATGGATCGCTCTCTCGTCTCCAGATACCGACCCGAATCCAGTCAACCATCATCAACCCAATGTTTTGCGGCAAATGCAGCATCTCAGCAGGCAAATCACTCCCGTTTGAAGCGGCCGTCACTGGGTTGAGCGCGGATGGAGCTTCAGGAGACGTCAGCTTATTCACGCCCGACGGCCACGGTCTGATCCAGTTTGAAGGCGTCCACGTAACTCCGTTGATGCAGCCTACGGCAAAGGATGATCGTCCAATGTTCTCACAAATCACCTGGGGCAGTATCGAACCCAACGCCGAGGCCGTCGATGGACCGCCGCCGCCCTTGCAGTTCTGCCCCGGCGACAAGGATGACCCGCAGCACATGTGCTTTTCAGTCATCCAGGAAATACTTTCCAAACTGACAGCCCAGGACCGCAAGAACCTTGAGGGATTTCGACGCGATGTGGTTGAGTGGTTTGACCATGTGGTTGAGATGACGCGTCAAGGCAAACACCCCCTTTGCAACAAGGAGTGGGTAGACGAAGACCCAGGCGAAGTCCTCGACGTCCTATCAAAGACAGCACAACCTATCATCGTGGAGATGACAGAGAAGACAAGGAAACACTTTCTAGGCTTCTTGCGCGGCGAGACTCCCATGATAGAAGTTTATCGCCAGGACAATCTCCTCACCAGATTCTATGATCAAGAACAGGAGCTCAAGTACATGAGTCTGAGGGTTGGCGACTTGGCCGGACAACTAGCCTTTAGGTATCCTCGCATGAAGATTCTTGAGATTGGAGCCGGCACCGGCTCAGCAACCAGAGCCGTTCTCAGGCGCATCGGCCAGTACTTCCATTCCTACACCTTCACTGACATCTCGGCTGGCTTTTTTGAGGACGCCGAGGCCACCTTCACCGAGCATGCTGATAAAATGGTCTACCGCGTACTCGATATTGAAAAGAGTCCCGTGGAACAGGGCTTTGACGCAAACTCGTACGACTTGGTCATCGCAGCCAATGTCCTTCATGCCACCAAGTACCTACAGCCGACCATGACCAATGTTCGTACCCTGCTAAAGCCCGGGGGCCATCTTATTGCCCTGGAGATCACAAACGAGAACATTTTGCAAGATGCCATGTTCTTCTGCGCCTTCGAGGGATGGTGGCTTGGCAAAAACGACAACAGACCCTGGGGTCCCAAAATCTCAGTGCCAAAGTGGGAAGACCTTCTCAGGAAGACGGGCTTCGGTGGCGTGGAAACGATCATCCCGTCGCCGGAAAAGCCCGAGTACGCATACTGGGGTTACTCGACCTTTGTGACAAAGGCAGTCGAGGATGGTGTAGAGACACTCCGCGAGCCCTTGGCCGTCGCACCAGCTGCATCGGCTAAACTTGAGAGCCTCATGATTATTGGCGGTGCAACAGAGAAAACTTCACGTCTCGTTCCCGAGCTGCAGAAGCTACTGGCCCCTTACTTCCATCAGGTTTATGACGCCTTGACCATTGATTCCGTAGAGTGTTCTGATGCACCACTGGCCGCAATCCTATGTCTTGCAGACATGGACTCTCCGTGTTTCCAAGACTTGACGGCTCAGAAACTGAGCTGCTTGAAGAGGTACGTTTCCGAGTTTCTTGTGGGTGCAGTTTGCCCCCTCTGTTGGCCAACGCCTGAAATCACAAAATGCCACTCCGTGTCAGCGACAAGGAACGGCATGTCCAAGACTTTCAGGCGATCAGTCTCCCATACTTTATTTACATGTACTCACCTCATTTTAGGTTGCTAGAAGCCGGCCGGAGACTCTTGTGGGTGACGGCGGGTTCCGAGTCTGAAAATCCATATCTGAGTATGAGCAAAGGATTTCTCAGTTGTATCGGATACGAGTACAAGGGTTCACTTCATCAGTATTTCAACATTGTCGATCCGGATGCTGTTAATGCGACACTCCTCGGCACAACCCTCATGCGCATGGTTCAGTCCGAGTTTACCAATGATTACAGTCTTTCCAAGGGTGTTGGTAGCGTCGAGCTTGAGCTTCGCTTCGAAGACAACGTCATGAAGATTCCGCGAATCATGAATGCGACTTCACTAAACCAGCGATACGCCGCGGCCCAAAGAGCCGTCTATAACCAAGTGAGCTTGGAACAGTCAACTGTCGAGCTTCGCTCCAACAAAGACAATTTCGAGTTTGTAGAGACAGTTGACGATGTGAGAGACGCCAGTTTCGACGAGCATCAATCCATGGTTCAGATCCGTGTCCGATATTCTGTCTCTCTGGCGTTGAGAGTAAAGGGTGCTGGCTTTTTGAGTCTCATCTTGGGAACCCACGAGGTCTCCAACGCACGGTTTGTCGCCTTTGCAACCAAGAATGCATCCAGAGTCTCGTCGCCCTCGGCGTGGTGCTGGGAGCTCCCCAACCATATTGCCGAGAGCCAAGAGCCCCAGTTCTTGAAGATTATGGCATCTGCGGTGATGGCTAGAAACATCATTGAACAGGCAGAAACAAATACAGGTCTCTTGGTCCATGAGGCAAGTGATTATCTCAAACACGCCATTTGGACCGCCGCTGTTGCCAAGGGTAAGCCTCACTTCCTTTCTCCAGGCGAATCCTGGAGGACAACTCCCGCTCCTCTCCCAGTGGTATTTGGCAATTCTGACTCTCCAATCTTGATTAGGTGTCCAGCCATATTTCAGCACCAGTGTTGCTGCCGTCGCGGAGTCGAGTTCCAGCATCTTATTCTTCCATGACGCGAGCTCGTCTCGAACGCTTTCTCGTCTGCTTCCTACCAATCTTTCGGTCATAGCCAACTTTAGCGAGACGCCCAATGGAGTGTTTTCAAAGGTAAAGTCACTGCTGTCCGAGGATGTTCAACGACACCACAATGGTACCCTTTGCAGACTGTCGCCGTTGGCTTCAAAGGGGCTCAAAGTGGCCGCAGTGAGCGAAACGTTCAAGATTGCACGTGTCGTGGCTGGCGAAGTCATGCTTGTGCTGGCCAAGCACTTCGAGTCAAGTGAAAAGACCAATGTGATCAACGTGGAGCAGGTTCCTCGCCGAGGTTTGAGAGCGAGTGAAGTCGAGATTATTGACTGGACCCAAGCGAGTGAGCTCCCAGTTCGAGTTTCTTCTGCAAGTTCCCAAGTCAGACTATCAGGTAGCAAAACGTATCTCCTCGTTGGCATGTCGGGCGACCTCGGACAATCGGTATGCCACTGGATGATCACCAGAGGAGCACGCAATATCGTTCTGGCCAGTCGAAACCCCAAAGTCGACCCACAATGGATCGATGAGATGTCGAAATTGGAGGCCAATGTCAGGGTAGAGTCCATGTAAGTCCTGACATGTCAAGAAGGAATCTCTTTATATCTGCAATCAATACTGACAAACGCAACAGGGACGTCACTGACCGAGAGTCCATCCTCAAGGTCGACCGCACCATTCGTCGAAACCTGCCACCCGTCGGTGGAGTTGTCAATGGTGCCATGGTCCTGCAGGACCAAATGTTTTCAGATTCCCCATTGCAGAGTATACTGGGGACGTTCAGGCCAAAGGTCCAAGGCAGCCGCCTGCTTGAAGAAATATACGGCGGAGACGGTTTGGACTTTTTCATCCTGTTTGGATCTGCAACTGCCATTCTCGGCAACATGGGACAGTCTTCCTATGCAGCCGCCACAAACTTCATGAGGAGCTTAATACGGCGGCGACGAGAGAAGAACCTCGTTGGAAGTATTATTCATCCCGCCGAAGTCTGTGGAGTTGGGTACATCTCACGCATGGGCAGTGACCTGTCACGACTCATGAACAAGCTCGTCGGCAGACACATTGTATCAGAGAGAGATTTGCATGAAACTTTTGCCGAGGCCATCCTGGCGGGTGATCCGGCGTCCGGGCGTGACCCAGAAGTAATGTCCGGCTTCACGCAGCATGATCCCGACGAGACACCCGATCTTATTTGGTACAGTAATCCGCAGACATGGCCGCTCGTCAACTACCGACTGCATTCCACCTCGTCGCAGTCGACAAACACGCTCATGCCTATCAAGCAGCAGCTAGCATCTGCGACCAATGTGGCCGAAGCAGAAGAGGTGGTCCTGGCCGCGCTCAAGGCAAAGATTATCCAAAAGCTCCACCTCTCCGAGGATATATCTGTGACTCCAGATACCCGGTTGGCGGAGCTGGGTGCTGATAGCTTAGTTGCTGTTGATCTCCGGACATGGTTCATCAGAGAACTCGAGGTCGAAATTCCCATTCTGCATATCCAGAGCGGAGCATCAATCGGAGATCTTGCCGCGACTGCTACATCGAAGCTGCCATCCGGCTTCATTCCAAATGTAGGAAAAGACTGAAACACCCTGGAATAGACATGGATCGCATGTAAGCTTGCGTAGTGTTGTTTCTATAATTGATGCAGCGCTTATCTGACTCTGGGAGAGTCTTGGGCCTTGAGTCGGTTGTCTCGTCGAGGAAGGCGTCTCTCGTGACGCGTTTTTAATCTAGGATTCTCACATAAGTAAGGCAGTGATGTGACAGATGGTTTGCGTTTGGGAAAGCAGTGTCAACCTTGTTGGCGATGCCACGCATGAGTGGGAATTTGGAGGCAAGATCGAGAAAAGAGTCGGAATTGTGCTTCCTCTGCGTCCGGGCAGATGGCTATCGTGTTTGTATTCATAGGCTCTATTGAAAATGCAATAACAGCCCCCGTAAACCGCTTTAGTTCCCCGAAATTTGTACCAAGTCTTCGATGCTGACCCACGCTTGTTCCTCTTCCTTCGCCGTGGCATCTATCAAGGACGTGTTTGTGGTTAATTTTGTGGTCAATCTCACCGTCGCATATGTGGTAACGCTCGAGGGACTTGAGAAAGATGGTCTCTTTCAATTCTCGCGGCTGAGAACCCTCCGTACCCGCATGGCCTGTTACCTTTCGTACTCTTCGGCCCTCTTCATCATATGTATATCTTGCGCAGCCAGAAAACGTGGTACAAATGGCAAGGTTCCATAACATGTTGGAGTTTACACGTCTAGAACGCGCTACCGCCGTCAAGTTTGTCCCGCTGGCGTACAAGTGGCAAGACGTCGACACTGTTGTCGATATTGGAGGTGTAACCGGAGCAATCTGGCCCTCGCATCTATCTAAATCTTCCTCAATAGGTTTATTATATTCAAGGAAAGTGACCTCAAGCGTTCCGCCAAAGCAATGCCCAAGTGATCGTACGTCGCTCTTAACAGCAGTGAGGGTGATTTACTGTCCGAATTCGACGTCTCAGATGCCGTTTCCAAGGCTGTCGCCGTCGTATCATCCTTCTTTCTCCCGTTCTCCCCCCATGATCCTTTAGTTTTGTAGACAGTTGCTCAACAAGGCGCCGTATAAGGTACAGTTCACTAAGAACCAGCTGTGCTGCCATGCGTGCTGAGTCTGTGCCATTAAAGCAGTACTTGCCCACAACAACAGGGTTTGACCAGTCATGGTCTGATGAGGAAGTACACAGTGATACTGTCAATGACAAGCCAGAGGAGGGAGGTGCCTTTTGAGATGCTATATCCTGTTTCAAATTCGGACTTTGTCGCGCAATAGCTGCGTACCCGTCCAGCACTTTAAAGATGATAAGTGACACGATAGCGAGCAGATACCCATCTTCTGAACGTCCACACTTTACCATGGCGCCAACAGCGTTCAAGGCACCCTAGTTCCCAGCCAATATGGCACGAATAGAGGCGATTCCTAAGGGGCCTTAGTGACAAGACATTAAAGATATATGGTTTCCATTGATCGGAGGGCTTGAATAAGACAAGAGTGATCCAGAGACTCTATTGTACGAGATCCTTCACAGCTCTGGGATATCTCTATGCTAGAGGTGGAAATGGTGTCTCGGTGGTGGGCGTAAGACTTGGTGTGGAAACAGAAAACAGTTCGGACACGGCATTTCTATACGATGATAATGAGTCCGAATGACCTCCCTGTGAGCTATTATTGCTGTTATTAATTCCCGTGGAGAATATCTTGGAGGCTCTAAGGCAATCTAGGGTGGTCATGTCCTCAGAAAATAATGGAGGCGTAGTAGAAAAGTAGTCCCCAAAGTCAAATTGTGTAACAACTGCAGTAGACACTGTCAATGTCGGAATTGGATCCATTGTAACGGGTCCAAATAAGTCTTGTATGGCGTTTGAAGGGGTTTCAGAAAAGCCTGCCTTACTAGAAGAGTGATGGAGAGTCCCCGGTGAAGGCAGAGGGTCGATGCTCGCGTTTGACGCCGGGGCAGTACCAAACCAATCCGACAGTGATGGTAAATATGCGTCGGGATCAGTACTCGAAAGCACTGTGAGTCTTAGGTCTGAGGGATGTGATTGACTGCCATTTGATTGCCTGTTGCTGGTGGCTCAGATATCTCAATGCTGCCTCAGTCTTTGTCAAGCCCAGCTTCCTGGAAACTGGCCGAATCTTATACAGGGCAGTAAAGTATTCATCGTTCTAGTACCGTCCGCGAAAGTGCTTCCACTGAAATCTATTGGGGGTCGTATCGACTACCAGGCTCACGAACGGTCGTGTCCCGTTGGTACTTGCCGGTCAGCATGCCGCCAGCCAGGGGGCTAAAGGCATAGAAGGCGATGCCGTCCGGTAGTTTCGAAGGCACGGGAGGAGCGCTGGCTCTACGGCGCGCTGGAGGGCATGATAACGGCCTTGGTAGACATATGGCTTCATCCAGCCGTTGCGTTAGCACACCTCCTACGAGGGGCACTACGTGTAGGAGATGGATGCAAAAACTTCCATAGACTTGCACAGATCTCAGCTACCTCCCATGCGGCGTAGTTGCTAATACCAAATCGCTTGAATTGACCCACCAGTTGACCTTGTAAAGTTCATTAACAGCATCAAGTGTTTCCTCGTACGGCGTGTTGTGCTACAATCGCCAATCGTTATTAATTCACGAATCTCCAAAACATGGCAGGGTACTGGCCGGGATCGCGACACACATCAGGCGTATGAAGGTACCAACAGTCGACGTGGTCAGTTTGCAGAGCCTTCAAGCTATCCTCGGGACCGCGCTTGAGGTCTTCTGGCTTATGGGAGTATGAGCTTGGACCTATGCGTCTAGGATTGAGCTTCGTATTCATAATAGTGCCCTTTTTTAGCCAGTTTACTTGGCCAAAGAAGTCGTCGGAGGCACCATATGCGCGCGCAGTGTCGACTTCATCGTGCCCGCTCTTTTGCAATACGTCCAAGGCGTCAGATATTTCCCTAGCCTCGTGAATACAGGCACCCTCAGAATCTAGTAAAATATATGTCAGAAACATGGCTTTCCAATTCTGTATAGAACTGGAAAGGTGTGAGGTGGGTTTTGCGAAATACAATATCCCTTGGTACTTACCTTCTTTACCAACAGTTATGGCGCTGAATACCACTTTCCTAGCCATCTTGGCTGGAGAGACATGGTCAGCTTTGTTGGTAATGGTCTCTGTGATCTTGGTGTGGGTTTGAGTGGTCATGGCTGATTCGGTTTCGAATTGCATCTGTTCAATGTTTATCGGATGGATTAAATATTTTGCTACGGAATGTATCTATGGGAAATTCGTGACCACAATATCCCAACACTAGCAGACGTCCAAAATGACTTGGCTCCGTCTTTTGGCTACTGCTACATCGTTCCGAGCATTCAAAGGGACCGAATGCAATGCTACGTCACTTTATCAACGGAAGAAAATAGAAACATTGTAACACAAATTTCTGCTACCGAATTACATGCTTCAACCTGGTTCACGCGAACTGTCGCATTCGCATGACGGCTTCACTTGCCAGTAGCACGAAAAGGGGCGCCTCTGCTAATTTGACCATACCATGTATCTAATAAAAGGTTCCGGAAATGCATACTCGACTCGGGATCGTGCAGCATCCAACACTCCGCACCAAATGTGCAAGGAGCTGCTGTCCCACGCCCCAGATGCACCAAAAGCCCTCAGACGGCTCGGCCGTACGTGGCAGAGGATGGCAAGCCAAAGCTCATGTCGGGGCCATTCATGTGCAATTCGCAGGGGCCTGTGTTTGGCGAAAGGTGCTAAACAAATACCGAGTAGTAAAATGCATCCTCATGCTAGCAGACTTGCAAAGAAGTCGAAATGCCAGGCAAATTTGGCTAATCGAAAAGGGACGAATCTGCAGATAAAAACATCAGCTACCATCATGTAACTCCAATACCCCTGTTCCTCAACAACCATGGGATTTATAAACACGCAACGCAACGGCCTCTCCGGCATCTCGGTTCTTATATGCGGAGCTGGAGTGGACAGTGTCATGGCTGGTCTTGTGGTTTGGCGCCGAGGTTGCGACGTTGGGTTTGTTGGGAGAAGTCAAACCACCGAGATGGCAGATATAGTACCAGGATCGAAAGAGGGCTTGCACCAGTCGTGTTGTTGACTAACATTCTAAGCAAGTAGTTTATTTATGATTAGCCGACAAGATTGCCCGCGAGCCCGTTAATGGTTGCAAAGTAAAATTGAACAGGCGAGCGAGTATGGAAACCCGTCAGGATGGTAGCACTATTTAAGAAGAAAGAGACTAATAAAGGCGCCTAATTACTACTTTATTCGCGGCTAAAGCTTCATGCCATGCTCCTCGAATAACTTGATAAGAGCGGCGTGTAAGCCGAACATGGCAAAGAGGTAGCCAGCTACTTTAAAGATCTGGCATCGACAAGAGCTGTAGTGATTTTTACAGACAGCTCCAAGCACGAAACCGACATTGTTGTCGCTGCGGAAGACTTACAGGGATCAGCTCGTGCTTCAAGGACGGCATGTCTAGCCGAGTTGATGCAGGGCGCGCTTCAAGTTGACAGACAAGGATTTGCTTTGTTGCAAAAGAGCTGAACTGAGAATACAACATTAACCACGAAGTAGGGCCAACATGTCATGCGCATTCTGGCGCATCGACAAGCATTATCACACACCCAGTCACCAGCTCTGCAGGACGACACGGCACGCACGTGCCGATTTGATGGACGGGGCGCCGTTACACAATACTAACCGGCCGCTGAAAGCTGCATGGACAACTAATAGGCAATGTTGGTCGAGGCATAGGAAAAGGACCTACCGACTACTTTGGGTAGCGATTCGTGCTTATCTACCTGCCAAAGGCGTTGGTTGTAGGGGACGGAGATGTTAACACCTTTGTTTGGGTTTTCCGGCTTCCAATACTTTAAACCCTTGTAATATATAGTAGATTCATGTACTTGCAGCAAAATGTTTTCACCTGTTGCCACGTGCTAAGCAAGTGTTTCGACGAGCGTGATTACAGGCCGGCTACTGGCCAGCATTGAGTCGGAGCATTCACAGCGTCATTTGACTAATACTGTCTCCATTATAGAGAGCAATAGCACCGACGTCTGTTATGAATTACGTGGCGTCGTTTTCACGACGAGAAAACTACCATCTAGGCTCTTGTTGTCCAGGATATTTGTACAAGGTCAATAGTGTTGAACGTCACAGCGGAACACAGATGAAAGGAGTGCGTTGATTCTCTAAGCTAGAGATGCCGCCAAGGCACGCTATTTATGGAAGGCGCAGGCTGGACCCTGCACGTGATGCTGTTTCATGTTCAACAAATAGTTGGTAAATTTGGGACGTGCTCGTTTATTTGTCTAAACTATCAAGACTGGTGCCGTATGCGAAGGCACCACCAGAGGGTCAATACTGCGCCCTAGCCAGCATGAACTCCGTGCCAGCTCTGCACAATTAAAATGACATATGTAATTTGATGCTTTTGTCACCACATGTGCAGTATTAGCCCCTTGTCAGCCCCATCTGTGACATTTCCACCTCGCCAATCGGAGAATTGCCTCCATGTTGCTTCGCTGTTGTCTGCCCCTAATAAACTTGAAATGGGCTCGCGCCGACTGGACCCCTCGCACTTCGCACTTCGCACCTCGCACCTCGGGCACTCGGGGCTCGGAATTCTGTTTTCTGCGCTCCACATGCAGATGCTGAAAGCCATTCATTGTGCTTGCATGTGTCGTCCCCAAGTCCCGATGCTGGAATAGTGAGTGCTATTTGATGGCCTTGGTTCTTCGGATTACCGCCCGCGACAGCAGAAATATTGACATGTCAACTGGTAGCAAATGAACCGCCGAGCTGCTCGAGTACCTACCTAGGTAGGTACACGCACACAGCCGTTACAAAACAGCACTTGAGGTCTTGAATTATAAGCTCTTGAAAATCTGACATGCGCTATAATAAACTTCAATTACATTGGTGATAAATTATTGACAGTTTACATGTACCAAGACATCCCTGGCGCCTCCTGGGTACGCACCAGTGGATGGGCGCAAAGCACTTGACGACCAGGCTTTTCCGCGTCGATCATTCCATCAATTACAAGGCATGCAAATTTCACGCCATACAGACAATCATCTCCAACGGCGTAAAAGGTCAATGCATAGCGTCAAATACTGTGTCGCGACGCACAGCTGCAGGCTGGACTCGTAGTAGTTGGCACTTGCGGCTGCTGTTGGTTGCGAGTACACGTGCATGGAAATAAAAAATAAAATAAAACCAGACACCAGTCACCAGTCTTAAACCCTCCTCTTCACCTTCGCCCTTCATCATCTACCGTTGACGCTTTAGCCCGTTCACCCTTGGCGCCCATGTTATTATGGCCACACACACGGCCAAGGATGATTCCTCTCAACAGGTGGGCGAAAAGAAAGACTTCAAACGCCAAGATGCCGACAAGGTCTACCCATCAGGGCCGAAATTCATTCTGCTTATCATTTCTGCCTTTACCGCCATGTTTTTGGTTTCTCTGGTGCGTCGCAAAGCTGTCAATGCCATTCCGCTTCCCTCAAGGACCGTCCAAACTAAATCTTTGGCTTCAGGACAAAATGATCATCACCACCGCAATCCCCCAAATCACCGACGAGTTCCAATCAAAAGGCCATGTTGGCTGGTACGGCACCGCATACTTGCTCACCAACTGCGCCTTTCAGCTGGTTTTTGGCAAACTCTACAAGTTTCTCCCCGTCAAGACCATCTTCGTGGCATCGCTTCTGCTCTTTGAAGCTGGCTCGGCCATTTGCGGCGTAGCCCCAAATTCCATTGCTCTCATTTTTGGAAGGGTCATTGCTGGTCTAGGAGCCGGCGGCATTCTCCCTGGCGTTGTAGGTTCAATGTTCCTTCATGTACCGTCCCAACCGCTACTTCACTTCGTGCTGGCTGACGTTGTACCCGCAGATGATGATCATTGTCTACGCCATTCCCCTACACAAGCGCCCCAAGTACCAGGGTTTCTTCGGCGCCTTGTTTGGCGTTGCTTCCGTTCTTGGTCCTACCGTCGGCGGCGCCTTCACAACACATGTCACCTGGAGATGGTGCTTTTACATTAATCGTAAGCCTTTCTGCGATACCCTACCATGCTGCCAAACACTGGCTGACTTGGACCAGTTCCCATTGGACTTCCCGTCATGGCCCTCATCTTCTTCCTCCTTGATATACCCGATCAGCCCGGCACCGAGTCATCGCTGGAACATAGGTTGAAGCAGGTCAATATTTTGGGTTTTATATGTCTCGTGCCTGGAATTATCTGTCTCTGTCTTGTATTACAATACGGTGGCACGACCTATAATGCAAGTGCGCCTCGTGCATTCGACATTCTTAACACGACACTTCTCCTTTGGACCACACCGCTAACATGCAAGCCGTAGTGGAACGATGGGCGCATTATTGCCTTGTTCGTCGTTTCCTTTGTCTTGTTGATCGCCTTTGCCTTGGTCCAGCTCTGGCTGCCGGACCAGGCCATTCTGCCACCGCGCATCTTTATTCAACGAAGCATTGCTTCTGGCTTCTGGGTGAGCCTGTGTGTCGGTGCACACCAGACCATATTTCGTAGGTGGCCAAGCCATGTACAAGTTGAACCGACTTGTCCTGCTAATTTGTAATTACGCTACATATAGTTTACTACCTCCCCATCTGGTTCCAGGCTATTCTGGGTAAGCCCGCTGTGGAAAGCGGCATAGACTTGCTCCCGATGGTGCTGCTGACTGCGGCTGCGGCCATTCTCAATGGCCAGCTGGTCTCCGCTATTGGCTATTACACGCCATCCCTTATAATTGGTGTCTGCCTTACTGCTATTGGTGCAGGATTGCTTACTACTTTTGGGGTTGACAGTTCGCAGGGCAAATGGATCGGTTACCAGATCCTGTATGGTCTTGGTCTTGGTCTGGCATCCCAGGCTCCGAATATGGCGGCACAGGCAGTGTTAGCCAAGCAAGACGTGGCTATTGGCGCCTCGCTCATGTTCTTTGCGTACGTATCGCGCTTCTCTGCGGGTTCCATATAATCATCATTTGCTAATGCTGTGTCTTTCAAAACAGGCAAACCCTCTTTGGCGCAATCTTCGTCTCGGTCGGCCAGAACGTACTTGATAATCAGCTCACTGATCGTCTCCGAGACATTCCCGGGATGAATCACGATCTTATTAACAAGAGCACTGGAGCCACTAGCATCCTTGATAATATTGACACCAAGTACCGTGCTTTGGCTTTGGAGGCGTACAACGATGCATTGCGCGTGGTCTTTCAGGTAGCTCTCTATATGACCTGCCTTGCTCTTCCCGGTGCCTTGGCCTTGGAGTGGCGCTCAGTCAAGAAGAACGGCCCAGCAAAGAAACCCGACACCAACCACGCAGAAAAAGGCCTGATGAATAGTAGCGAGCAAAAGGCTTCAGCACCGAGAGTCGAAGAAAGTATGCAACAAGCCGCAGGTTGTAGTGCTGCTGATGAGTCGAAGTTTACAGACGGGGACGTAGCAGTCGCGGCATCCAGGAGCGAAGCCACCCACGTTGCCACCCAGAGCCAGGGAAAAATTGCGTAGATGTCTCGAAGAGCAGAAGATGGGATAGGCATCACGTACGTGGAAGAGACATTCTGAGGGCAGTTTTGCTTTCATTGAGGGCTTTTATTGGGCGCCCTATGTAAAATATTCAGACCTGTAATATGAAAAGAAGTCTCCTCTCATTATGATACAGTAATAATACTGGAATAGGAATGTGTTTGTACGTGTGTGTTCGCGTGCATGTTATGATAAACTAGGGCTAGGTTCCGTTGACATTTAGTGGAATGCAGTCGGCTATACTGAAAGTAAAGTCGGAATTCCGTGTTTAATGGGAGCGGTGAAAGTCTACCTAAGATATAATTTGTAATGGCATATCCTTGTTGTAAGGATGACGGTTCATCACGGTCCATCACTACCAAGGCCAAGTCTGGCCGTCATAAAGGATAAACTTGCCACCGATAATCTCCATTAAAGCCCCATTAATAACCTTGAGCACGCCGCCGATGCTCTCCTCCAGCGAGGCGGTCGACCTGCTGCGTAACTCCCGTCTTGGTGACAAGATCAAATCTTGAAATCAGGCTCTCACTGAACGCGTCGAGGACTCCATGCATGGAATTTTTGCCAGGAGAGCCAAGCAACATCGCGGTAAGGATGCCATTTACAGCTAGGATGGGTCATTGACTTACAAAGATCTAGACGACTTGTCTGATGTTGTGGCCAAATATTTCGTCGCATCACACAGGGTCCAGGTAGAGCAAATAATCCCAGGGTAATATATTCAAGCCTACAAGTTATCATGTCTTAAAGGCCAGCTAACAGTAATAGTCGGTCTTGTCCCAATTACACTATTTTCTGCATGCTGGATATCTTGTGACTCTTCGTAGAAAAGAAGAATAATGTTCTAAAGTCGTCGCTCGTCATGCCTTCCTGTTTTGTACTAGCGGCAGGTCGGAACGGGGACCATCTCATGGATGCCCCGACAGGCCGCTTTGCCGGCCGGAAGCCGAGGCACCGGGAAGCTGTTGATTCCCACCGTGCGCATGCGCCGTATGGGGTCACGTCCGGTGCTATATGTATCTCCCCAACATGCCCGCTTGCCTTGAACCGATTTGACTCCATTTCCAATTCAACCGGCTTTGTTGTGCGTCTCACCCCCAGTTCTACAGACAAGTAATCCGCTCCTTATTTCGCAACAAAATCTTGCACCCTGGTTCTCAAGCCCATCTTCCACAATGTCGCTTTTATATTCCCTGCAGGACTCCTTCATCGGCAAATCCCTCCGTACTGTTGCTGGCAGCCTTCTAAACCCAGTCGTCCCCGGCGCTTTACTTCTTTTTCTCGAGAAAGCACCACAGGAGACTATCCAGCATCTCCTTACCCGGGCCTCGCTTCCGCCCAACCATGACTTGACGCTTGCCAAGTCCATCCTCCAAGCGCTCCTCGCCATTGGCACGCTGCGCTATGTGAACGCGAAGCTCACTTCCATGGCTGCGAATTCATGGCGATTAGGCGGCGCGCCCGGCTGGAACTGGCCCAACGAGATTGCTGTTGTTACTGGCGGTTGCAGCGGTATCGGTCTTGCTATTGTGCAAAAGCTCATTGCCGCACGTGTCAAAGTCGCCGTCTTTGATATTCAACCTCTGCCCAAGCAACTTCAAGGCAGCCCCAACGTTCGCTTCTACAAATGCGACGTCACGTCGGCTGCGTCCATCGCCGATGCGGCGGCTGGTGTACGTGGCGACTTTGGAGAGCCCACCATTCTGGTGAACAATGCTGGCATTGCAGTGCCAAAGTCTATTCTCGACATTGAAGAGAAGGCGCTTAAGAAGATTTTTGCCATCAACACCATGAGCCACTGGCTCACCGTCCAGCAGTTCCTGCCCAGCATGATCAAAGCCAACAAGGGCCACATTGTCACCATGGCTAGTGTCGCATCCTTTGTAGGGCTTCCAGGTCATGCCGACTACGGATCTACCAAAGCATCTGCTCTTGCATTTCATGAAGCGCTTCAAGTCGAGATCAAGCATGTGTACGGCGCGCCGAATGTCATGACCACCATCGTGCACCCAAATTTTGTGGCCACGCCTCTAGTGGAAGACTTTAAGGGTCATCTGAAGAGCTCAGGTGTAACGTTTCTCACACCAGAGCAGGTGGCCCAAGACACAGTGGCCCAGATCTTCGATAGGAAGGGTGGGCAAGTTGTTGTTCCCAAATCTTCTGGCATCGCTTCGGCAGTTCGAGGCTGGCCATTATGGCTGCAGGTCATTATTCACGACTTTCTAGGAGCGAATGCCAAGAGGATGAATAGTAAGTAGAGCGCGGTTAGACATAGCAACTGCTGTGTGAAAAGGCCCGAGGACGTCAAGGTGCGATGATTTCCTACGAGTCCAAGAGCCTCAATAGTATGGAACGTATCGTCGAGGATAATGTGAATTGTACTTTAAAGCCAAGCAAAATAATTATATTTAGCTTGTTATAAGCAAATAATTATAAAGAAAGCATCAAAAAAAGCTAAAAGCTGACTCCAACCACCCTATAAGCTACTGTGACAAGGGTTCAATTATGAAGGCTTGGAGCAAAGGGCTCAATTCAATAATAATCTCGTAGGATGTCAAAGGTCCTCCGTTACTACAAGGAAGGAAGAGAAGGGTAACCGCCTTATATACATGAAAGGAACGCCCGGGCCTAGGGTCCTTGCCCGGGCACGTGCTCCAGCTGTGTAACTAACTTGACAAGTCCTGTATCGGCGAAGCCCCTTTGTTAGGCTTCGCGATCTGTTGGGCCTTTTCCGTGTAATAGCTACTTAATTGCCCTCCTATTAGCCTCCTCAAGATCATTCATTAGCTGCTTTATAAGGCTGCTTTTTTGCTCATGGCTTTTCTCCATGTCCCCCAAGTGGTCTCTCAAACGCTTATTTTCCTTCTCAAGCCTGGTAATTTTTTGCCCATCCTCCTTGGTCTTCTTGGCTGCCTCTTTAGAGGCCTCTTTCAAGGCCTCTCTGCGCTCTTCATTGTTCAGGCCTACTTCGTCTTAGTACAAATAAAGTAAGAAAAATCAAGCATAGTAACGCAATTGACGTACAGATTTGGGCGGCCTCGGCAACTACTAAATGTTAGAACAAATGAAGTAGGAAAAAGAGCACAGTCATGCAATTGACGTACGAATTTTGATGGTTTCGGCGGCTACTAAGTGTCAGTACAAATGAAACAGCAAAAAGTTGGCGTGGTAATACAATCAACGTACCAGGCTTGTCCTCTTTATCAGCTACCAAGTATGAGCGTAAATAAAAGAGTACTCAATCAATACAGCGATGTGTCAAACGTACTAAGCCTCGGCAAGGTCTCATCTGCCTAGTATTAGCAGAGATTCACATCGAAAAGCATTAAACCTAAGAAGCTTTCTTGATAATAAGAGCGTGTTTGTGATAAGGGTTCAACATGGAAGGCTTAGAGCAATAGCTCAATTAAACAAATAAGAGTCTTTGGTATCAAAGCTCCTTGGTTTTCCTCAAGGCCTTAAGGGACTAAAGACATCTATTTATATAAGAAGTTGGTAAGTGACTTTGCCTTAGGTCTCGTGACTGTAGCCCTTATGTAACCAGCCATTTCCGTGTAACACTTGTAAGAGCACGAAAGGTTAACTGGTTTGTTTTGGCGTTGACAAAACCTCACTAACTTGAGTCATGGAGACGGTGCTTTTACATTAATCTCCCTGTTGCATCCCTCGTTTTCCTTATCATAATATTCTTCTTCAAGAGCCCCGGTATATCGCCTAAGCCCGCTGCAGCGATTTTTTGAGATCCTATCGGTATCCCCGTGTTCGTGCCGGCCATTGTTAGCATTCTGCTCGTACTCTACTTGGGAGGTACTACGTTAGAAGGATAGCAAGATTATTGCATACTGTGGACTTTACGATTCTTACATCACCTTTTATTATTACTTAATAACGGATTAGGGGTGACGTTATGGTCCTCCTGCGAGTCTTGGCGGGTTTATCTATTGCCAGCGCCGGCTTTATTATGTGAAGAAATACTAAGCGTGACAAGCAAACTAATAACAGAAAGGAGTTAGGTAATAAAACTGCTAATCCCGAAGTCCAGTTACGGTAATAAGCGAGACTAAATAGTAAGGTTAGTAACACCTTAGGAATAAATTGCTTAGCAGGCTTACTCTTTTTACTAGGTGCGCTTACACACTTTTAAGTACTTAAATATTAAGCTATATTATAATATATTAGGCTATATTATAATATATTAAGCTATATTATAATATATTAGGCTATATTATAATATATTAAGTTATATTATAATATATTAGGTTATATTATAATATATTAAGCTATATTATAATATATTATTTTATATTTTATTATAAGTAAATATATTCTATTATAAATTAGCTCTTAAAAGTATATAAAAAGTATTTAAATATAATAAACACTTACCTATTAACAGGGGTTAGTGTACCTAGCAAAAAGAGTAAGCCCGCCGAGCAATTTACCCTTGGGAGAACCAGAAATATCAGTTAAGCACTATAAATTTTAAGATATAAAAAGAAATACTATATAAACACCTATTATAATACGAGAGTTATATTATATATTTCGTAAAATAGCTAATATATACCTATAACTATTAAGATATTTATGTGATTAAAGCGCAGATGTCGACGTGCATCGCAGCAGTCCCGAGTCCCAACACTTTCAGATCAGGACCGTAGTTGATTGACATGGTGGCCTTTCCTCGAGGGATGTATTGGTAAGTACAGGTCGCCCGACGCATTGCAGCCGGGACATTGCGCCATCATGCCACAGGGAATGCACAAAAGCGCCTAGGTGCCCTTTGCTTGCCCTTTGCTGCTGCGTGAAGCTTTAACGGAAAGAGCCTGGTCGAGTCTGGTCCGGTCTGCTTGGCCGAGTTAACTCCATACAATCAATTTATCCTTCCCAGGCCTGTGAAGGGTCAACTGGTGGAGACATGGACATCAAATGGCATGCATGTGAACTTTCGTACCAGACCAGTCTCAAGTGGTCAACAGCAGTACATACAAAAACGTTTAGGGAAAGATCATGTCTCTCAAGGCAATCGGACCCGCACCAGCACCACAAGTGCCAGAACAAGAACGCGAGCCAGGACGTGAATTTGTGAAGGAGCACCAAAGACCAAGAGCCCACCTCGAGGAGAAGAAGAAAAAGCCCAAAGAGAAGAAGAAGAAGCCCAAAAAGAAGAAGAAGCAGAAGCAGAAGAAGAAGAAGCAGAAAAAATGTTCTTCAAAGGGGAAATCGACACCACCACCGCCATCATCGCCGCCGTCGTCACAGTTGTAGGCGTTTGTATAACCGTCCTGCAAGGTTGCTTATCTTAGCAAGATGGCCAACGGAAGCAAGAGGTGCACAGTACGTATAACACTGTTACACGGAAATCGCCCTGTTACATAAGGGCTACAGTCACGGGATTAGGGCAGAAGGTCCTCACTAACTTCTTGTATAAATAGACGTCTTCGGTCCCTTAAGGCCTTGAGGAAAACCAAGGACCTTTGATACCAAAGACTGTTATTAGTTGAATTGAGCTAAATTGCTCCAAGCCCTCTACTGAGCCCTTGCCACACAAGCCTGTTGGTGAAAACACCACCTAACGACGGGCCAGTTGTAGCTGCCACTCTGTACACGCCGCAAATAATAGCACGTATATGGCATCAGCAAGTCCTGAAGCTCAGAGTATAATTGGAGGCAGCCTTACGTGGACAACGGTCGGTGTTCGGATGGCATAGTATGTGCCCTCATAAGAAGTCTGGTGTGCAGGAGAGAAGGCCGGAATTACCGCATCGTTTTATGGCACGACCCAGAAGTGCCAATTGCCAATGATGGGGAGATGGCGCGTTTCGTAATTGGGAGGATAGGCTTGTCGCTTGTACATGAATCTGTGAGAAAAGACTAACGAGGCAGTTAGTGCCACGTACTCTGTCACGATATTTTGGCCTATTTCCTTGCACTACATAATATAATACGGGCTCTGGGCCGGGTTTCAAAGTTACACTTGGACTATTATCTCTGAACCAGCAGGTACGAGACCCAGACTAGTTGTCTAGCACTAACAACAGCCCCCTGAAAACTGACACTACTACGGAGTACTTTATATTGAGTCTGTCTCAAAGAATTGACTTGGCGAAGAATCTATATTGTAGAAAGTACAGTAGACTGTGAAAATCCCCAACTGGAAACAAAATTCGGCTCGACCTGTGCCCTGCTGTTCCAAGCCAGGCGTCAAGCCCGACAACCACTTCACTGACGAAACGTGCCTTGAGAGCCTCATGATTTGGCAATACACGGCAGCTCAGGTCACCGGATTCTGTTGGGTCCAAGTCGCGTAAAGATGCTTGAAGTCATCCCGAGACAGATCAAGACGTGTTGGCGCGCGGCTCGATCTCTCGTTGGAGGAGCCAATTGGGCACTATAGGACTGTTAATAATCGTCTAGTGGTTTATACAAACAGCTCATCTTTGGAGAGCCGCTTTTTGTAAATAATTAGGGCCACTACCTTTGAGTTGCTGAAGAGTACGTTTCTCGCTTGACACATCAAGTCTGTTCCCCGCTACAGGTTCGAACACAACGACTCCTTGACCGTACGCTGACTTATCGACGTCCGATTTGGTGAGAGAGAGGGCCGCTGATCGAATCCTAGCATAATTGGTGGTGAGCTGCTCATGTAATGCCACCACAGCACATCGTAGAACACCGAATATTTATTTGTCCAGAGGACAAAGACAGTTACGCTCCCGATACTAAGGCGGATCACGGGGTATCACCGCTCGTTCAAGATGGTCGATTGTAATAGTAGAGGTGCCTTTGGAGTCAAGCGTAGTATTGGGGGACGGCCAACTGCCTAGTTCTACTTCCGACGCCCAAGAGGATAGCGACGACGACCTCGGTAGCCCCCTGCGATCGAGCGAGGCAGCCCTAGTCAGCCGTGGAGGGATTTGTCCGGAGGATGTCTTTCTGAGGAGGCTATAAATAACTGGAAGATTAGCTACAAGTGCGGAGCAAAACTGCTCAATGGACCCCCAAAGATGTCGCCGGTCTTGCGAGGTGCCGTCTTTGTACACCGGTAAACGCGCGAGGGCAATAGCGATGAGGAAGACGCCTATAGAGAAGAGTCCAATTATTTGGAGTCGGCTGGTACGATTAGCATCTGCACAACCCACTCACTATTCCGCGATTCTCAAGAGTTACTGAGCGACACACATACCGTTTTAAGGTAGTATGTTGAAGTGACAATATCCAAGGCACTGGAAATACAATAAGCAGCAAATCAGTGAAAATATTCATGGAGATAAAAGTCGAGAGTTGAATGTGAGCTCTGGTGCAGGAGCCTGTTTTTGTCGTTCCATCTCGTTAGACAGGATACAATCTAGAGCCCGGCTCTCACAGCATGGAAGCAGAGGACTTACCAGGGTTTGGCACAACCTGCCAATAGAGGCGCAACGGAACACAGTCGAGGACACAGGCAGCCTGAGCGGCAAGATACGTGGCACAGAGAACGATCCAGTATATGGCAATTATCTGCGCCGCCGCAGGCAATACTGAGAATATTCGCCTGTAGAAAAGGAGGACGACTGCCTTCTGTATCCATAGGCTATGAACAGATATATCATTAGTACGGTGAGACAAGGCGGATATGTTCCGTGAGTGCTTATTCAGTGCGCCGTCTGCTACTTACTATGTGTTGTATATAAATCTATTCGCTAGTGTAAGCTTGCTCCCAACTACAAGGTGGTATATCTCGGTCGGGTCTGGGTGTTCGTCAATCAGGTAGTCGTTATTGTTGCCCCAAAGGACGACGACGGTCGTAAATGCAGTCCGGGCTTGGACACATGCGATGGCAATAAGCGTCAGGTAGTCACTGATGTCGAGCGGCCTTTTTTTAATCTTGCGTATTGCAAGGCGCAATACCATAAAGAGGGTTGACGCGAAACCAAAGACGGCCGTGAGAATCAGGATATCGGCGTCGTTGTCTGAATCCATGTTTGCCCGTACTTCCAAACATGGCAATATCGCCGGCAGAGAGGAGGGAACATGTGCAGCATGCGAGGGGGACGCAGGTTTGTATTGGAGAGCAGTGGCGGGTTGTCACGACTCAAGACTCAACATGTCCAAACCACGTGGCGCCGTCCGTCTCCCGTCTCCGCCACTTTCACACCTTGCCCGAAGTGAATGCGGAGTTAAAATCGTTGCAGAAGCGGGTGGCCGTTGCTGGTGGCACATCACCTCAGTTGAGTAGGGGGTGGTTGCTGGTTGTTTCACCAACACCCCAGACCAGACACTTTAAGTGACATAGTGGCTGATCTCCTACATATACCCGGGGCCATTGCGACAAGGGCTAGTAAAGCGTTAACTGGCCTTGGCCAAGCAAAATATGTATAAACACAGTCGCCACTTGGACTATTCTAAAACCCAATTGCCCCAGAAGCCACCGAGATGGCCTTCCTTCTCTCCTCTTCAGCTTGCTACGGAAAACGCGCCGACATCGGCGCATCCGATTTGTCTAATGGCATACGTGGCGCTACAACTAGCCAACTTATTCCCCCAGGTGCCATGACCAACGACCAGGACTCCCTCTAGCTGCACACCGACCATCACCTTCTATGGGGCTGTGATCTTCCGATCCCATCTCCTTAATCCACTACGCTGTCGAATTGATCGTACTGCAAGCCCCATAGACATTACAGGCCACGTCGGGGTCCAAGAAGACGCTGTTTGAAAGGCTTTTTGCTCCTCGTGAGTTGCAGATCAACGTGACTAGTAGATCAAAATGGCAGAGTCCCGTCTCCCAAGCCGAATTCACCTGTCTTCTCCCGTGCCAAGAAGGGAGCAGGTGCCTTGCGCTGCAATTACGGGATGGATAGTTCCATTCTTCGATTGTCCAGTTTTGCCACTAGACAAGTAAAGCCGCTGTGAGAGCTGCGTGGCTCTGGCCTGCGACATCATGAAGAGCACAATACTCTGGCAAGATAGCCGTGCCTAAGGATGTGGGACGAAAATCAGGGTTGTGTGGGCGAGGCTGGATACTTGCCGACATGAGAAAAGCCATACATCGCCTTGAACGCGACCTCCGTTTGGAGGGCTGCATCTTCCGTAGAAAACACGTAGAATAGCTGGTTGTTGGGGAGGGTATACGGAGTCGCATGTGAATGTGTCGTGCGGATGTCTGGGATGGCCTATGGTGCATGTGGTTTTACAATGGTAAACCTTGTTGTATCACTGTGGCAATGGTATTCTGAAACTTGAACAATAATATCTGTGTTGCATTTGCAATTAGCATGCTCTCTTTCAACCCAACCGAGTTCCAGTGTGAGGGACCACGGAAGGGGTCTACGAGCGAAGTCACAAGAGCTTGAGTGTGCAAATAACAAGCATATATTATAATAGAGCTAATAAAGAGAGACTTTTTTGTGTGTGTCAAGGAGAGAAAAGGTAGCTAAAGTGTACAGGCGTAGCAGTAAGCTTTGTATTACCTGGCACGTGACTGTGGGTCCCAACATCCAGAGGCTCTTGTTGCCGCGGCTGAGCTTCTCCCCGCTGTTCATTTCTGTACATATGTATGTACAAGTCTGAGCAGGTAACCCACCGATTTTGTGGCATCCAGACTGCCAACGAGTAAGTTATTCGTACCAACTGTTATCAAATGACTATCCAGTAGGAGCAATTTGTCTACAAGGTTCAGTTTAGCGTCTCAAATTCGAACTTGACTATAAGCTTGATCGCAAAACATACGAGCCACGGCCTTTTTGTCCAATGCAAAGGTGGCATTTTCGAAGCATTTCTATTTCCAAATATATTAAAGGTCTGAATTCTCTCTGTCGATGGATCCAATCAAGGACCAATTTCACATTGAATAACATCTGTAGCCGCGAAATTGGGACAGAGACTATCAGGGGAGTTATAACTGCGCCGCAAGGGATCGAGCGAACTTGAAGATTTGGACACAGGGCACTGAGGTGGCTTTCGCGTAGCATATTAAGTGTCAGTAGTAGGACATCAATTGATGTGACTATTGGGATTGACATGCCCCGACCAATGTTGAGCACACTTGAGCCTTGACAATGCTGGCAACTCCGCTGGGCTGAAACACTCTCGTAGCTACCTGGGTGCCGCGTCCCAATCTTCAGGGGTATAGAGATGCCAAAGAGCCCCGACGCTCTATTTCTGGGCAAGGGGCAAGCGCGGCGACCATGATTAGCACATTCTTGTTAATCCATGTAAGAACTAAACCGGCCGCCACTCATGAGAATGTAGCCTGGATCCCTTTGGGTGTTTGAAGGTGCCGATTTTGTACCACACAAGGATGTCAACCAATTAAAAATTTCAATATAAGAGATACATTAATATACTAGCATATTATATAGAGATATAAGTACTATTTATCTTTATATATACAAAAAGGTACATATTTATACGCACTAAACCAGGTATCTACTATATCTCAGACAAAGAGGGCCGGTACGAAATCGGCACCTTCGAACAGCCAAAGGGATAAGCCACGAGCCTTTTGTTATAGCCTGCAACCTCTGCCTTGCCTGAGGCTCGCGCCCTTGCACCCAATCATCCCAGTGCCTAACGACTAGCGGCTACATATGTACTCCTTCCAGCAAGCTCGGTAACATCGGTAATGACCAATCGATTGCTAAACCAAGTGGAGCCCGTCGCAGTAGTGCTTGCCTCATCTGTCTGTGGGCCATCTAGATACTCGGCTGTAAAGACAACGTTTGATCTCTTGCTGAAACCGGATCCGAAACTCCTGGTACCATAGCTCTGCTACTGTTTGGAACTCACGTTGCTTGCTCATGTGTACCTCAAAATCTAACTACTTCCCTAATTAAAGCAGGTTCTCTTTCTCGTCTTGTCTTTTCTTCCTCTTCTTGTATCGGCTGGCCCGCAGTTCAAGACTCTCTATACAGAGGTAATCTTCCCTATTGTTATTTTTTATACTATTATTTTATGCAGCACTTAACTAGTACTTGCAAAAATGTTCAAACCAAAAGGAACTGGCTTCTTGGTCCTATGTGCTCTCTTAATCCTCTGCATATGCTTTGGTGAGGCCGCTCCTCAGCGTAAACAAGGCAAACAAGGTAGTAATCAAGGCGGCAAGGGCGGCGGCAAGACAAAACAAACACTGCAGCAACAGGCGGCCCAGAAACCGGGAGGCATTTCCAAGGCCGAAGATGGTTCCGTCATTCTTGATAAAACCGTCAAGATTAAGTAAGAGCACTCGCGTCTTAAAGCTTTGCAATATAGTTTCAACTCAGCTAACCAAGACGAATCAGTGGCCTTAATATCAGATATAAAGTCAGCGCCCCTGCCGACCAATTCAAAGCAGCCTCTGGCGTGAAGAGTGGCAATGCTGCTCGTGCTGCAGATACCGAAGGCACGATTGGCATGAATGTGTTGCTTCATGGTGATGGGGGCGACTCGTTTTTTGACTTTCCCAACCAAGGCGTCAATGCCAATCTGATGGGCGTTGCAGTCCTTGCCCCGGACAAAAACCTCAAATGGGGTGGTGCTAACAACGGAAATCAGCAAAGGTCCCAAGGGGTCCCTCATTCCAAAGCTGTTGCCGATCTTATCACCAAAGAGCTCCCCAAAATGGTCGCATTTAATCAGTCAAATGTCTGGTTCACCGGCGTTAGTGGTGGTTCTCTCACGCTTTCCGGCTTCTTTATACCGGCCCATATGGGCCAATTCCCAAACACAGGAGTTCTACTAAACTGCGGCGGTTTACCTCCTCAAGTCAACTTCACCCCCGAAGCTGCAGCTGCCATTTCTAATACTCGAATTCACACCCAGTCATCCCAGAAGGAGCTCTCGTCTCTACGAGATTCCATCCCTGCGGCGGTCAAGGCGTATGAAGACGAGGCTAAGAAAGAAGGCTTGAATACCCAGCAGATTAACGCACTTCAGACGGTGGACAACACTCCAAGTGGTGGGCATTGTAACTTCAACGGGGAAGGTTTTACCAGTGGTGTAAAATCTGTAGTCACTAAATTCGACCAAATCATGTTTCCCCAAGGTAATGGTCAGGTTAATGGAGTCGATGTGAAGACGGGAGTGATAGGGAACGAAGCGCTGAGATTTACTGGCAGTGGTCGGTAAAACAAGCGCATTTACAGATATGTGTATATTTATCATGCAGTATGTAGGCACTTGGATATGACATTACTCTAATGAGTTTTAGGGAAATTAGTTACAATTGTAGCCAGGTATGCCAGGTCGTTAGGTAGTTCGATGCCTATATATTCTAAATGATAACAGACAGAGGGCTAGATGGGAACCTTTACCTCAATTTGTATTGTTTGTAAGCTAGGATATTGCGACACACGTACGATATATGATGTCTGGTGCCCTTTCACATTCAAGTTTGTGTTTCCTAACCGTAGCTCTCGCTAATCGCTAAAGAGATGTACGTCTCGGTACGCTTGTCTCCAAACGCTGACCGATACTGATGTCTCGGAAGCCTCTTACATAATCTCCATGGCTACGAGGATCTCTGCCGACTCCTTGCATTTGTAATTCTCCGGGAATTTGAACTACTGTGACTTGGTGATTCCATACCAACGTATATAGCTACGTTGATCTGGCGATAGATGCGTATCAAATTATAATGCGATGTGCACACAGCGCCGAATAGACAAATTCTTCTTCCCAACCCACTTTCACTTCTCTTCTCATGCCTCTTGTACAAAAAAGGCCTTTTTAGCGAGTGACGTTACAGTCTATTCCTCGGGCGGGCATGAAAAGGGAACCTTTAATAAAACACAACAAGTCAGGCTATATCTGCTTGAAATTGCCGAGGTTACTAGATTTCCAGGAAATATCCTAGTGGCGATAAGATCATGGACACCTTTTAATGGGCTAGAGGTAAGCAGCTCATCAGAGTGCGTACATAACATGACTGAACTTAATTTATATTGCAGGCCTTTATCTAGTTCTGTCTCAGCTTCCTTGATTAAAATTAGTTTTATTTGAATAGTACAGATAAGCCACGAAGGGAGCAACTAAGTGATGGCTATACGAAGCCAGACGGCCGTAGCTAGCGACTGCCAACTCATGCTATCCCGTCCACATTAATTGCTCTTGCTGCTGCCAATTTCCATGCGCTTCTGAAGACGATAGGCAATAGCACGCTTGCGGCTCTCCTGGCTCTGCGTGAAAGCGGCACTGCCGCCAAAAGGACCAGCGCCGGCGGTATTGCGCACACGAACAATGCACACGCCTTTGACGCCGGCAACCTCTCCATTACATGTCATGCCCGCGGGCATCTGGACCTGGACGGGGTGATCAGTATTCGTTATCGAGCTAATACCGGCAGAGCCGGGGATGTCACGAATGACGGATGCCGGCTGGAACGCGCTGGCATCAGAGCCGCCGGAGGTGCAGTCGATGGCAGCATCGAGAGGGCCGGCGCCATCTTCATTAATCTAAATAAATGGGAATCGTCAGCGCCAGAATTGGCATGGCTTTTAGAATGGACATTGGGCTACCAACCTGGTGATAGATCAAGTTGATGACGCCCTCGTCGTTACACGTGGGAAGTCCCGTTTCCGCACCCTGGCCGCGCATATCGCCATTCAAAGTCTCACTGCGATAAATCTTGGAGGACTTCTTGTTTACGCCCTTGGCTTTCCCCTTGGCTTTGCCTTTGCCTTTTGCTTTTCCCACGCCGTAGGGAGGCTTCTTGTTCTTGGGCTTGCCTTTGCCCGCGCCATCATAAGGCGTCATGGGGCTGACCACGTCATTGCTCTCGCCTTTGAAGAGCTCGGCAGCCTGGCGATTGTACTCTTCGCGGCGTTGGTCAGGGGTCATAAAGCTATTGTCTTCGCTTGGCACCACGCCAATGGTTCCCAAGGCTCCATCGGGGCGCTTGTTGACGGGAGGCGGTCCGCCTGTGCCCATGAAGCTGGCGACAACAGCAGAGGCATTAACACTGCCATGCCCTTGGGTTTGGCCCAACGGACCGCATTTGCCAAGTTTGATTTGGACATCGCGGATAATGGCTGTGTCCGCTTGCGAGCCACAGGGATTGTTTGTACAGTCGCGGGGAGTGCCGTCGGCAACTTTTCGCAGCTGTTAGTACATGAAACGGGAGGATAATCTGAAAAGTGGCAAAAAACAGGGACTCACCAGTCAAACCTGGCATGGAAACTCCATTGGCGCCCTCGATGGATCGGATTAGGCCGTGGCCGGAGACGCGGGCAGCGAGAGAGGCAGCGAAGACAATGGAGTAGCGCATTTTGGTAACGATCGGTGGTTCAGAAGAAGACACTGAGCCTGGTGAGAAAAAGACAGAAAGAAGAAATGAGTGAGTGCTGTTTAAAGAATGAATTGGTGACGGTTGATAAAGAATAAATATGTTGAGAATTTGGAGCCGCTTGTTGGATTATATAGCTCGTGGACGTTGTAGCAGCGCAACAGACTCGATATAGATTTCCCACGTCCACCAAGTCGACTTACATGCTTGGTGCCCGCATTGGCTAGTGCCACCGTTAGAGGGGACAATAATTAGCTAGGATTCCCATCCCGCGACTACACCGCGGTGAGGGTGAAGTTTGCGCTTGGACGTTGATCATCGGTCAGGAAATATGTCATCGTTCGAAAGGACTATGGAGCAATACAATAAAGTCGAGGGCAAAACAGACCCAGAAATTTCTTCCGGCGCGATAAACAAGTGCTAGAATAGGGATAGAGAAGCTGACGGCGAGTCCCCTGAAACAATAACGATCAGACCTCCGTGAGAGCTGATCGCTGGGTGCCTTCTTATCCTGGCTTGGTTCGTCGCTTGTCATGACTGACCTGCACAGATAGGCCTATTTGAGGCAGTATGGAGATTTTCTTACGCACGGCGTTGTCTAGGGGCTATTGGGCGGTTATGAAGTCCTGTCTAGAGAGAAATTCCCCTTCGATTGGTGATTGACAGACTCAAACACTCGGATGAGAAGGACACAAGTTCAAAGATGCATGGAATTTGTGGATGGTATGAGGTTTCATTACTAAAGGCTGTATTATGTGGCTCTACATTGGGCAGTTTAAAGCACCACACCTGTACCGGAAGTTCAAACTTGTCGATTGAAGCATATCCCGTAGATGAAGTAGTTGGGGCATGGAGGCAGCCGTTGTTCACCGTTTTTCTTGACGCCAAAATTCCACGGTGACAAAAGTGGAATAGGGCCAAGCTTCTTGAAGCTAGTAGGTTTCTTTTTCGGTTAGGAGAGCTTGGTGAATAGTGTCAAAAAGTCGATGCACACCCTTTCATGAGTTTTCCCAACCGGCGCCCGTTTCCACTTGGTTGCCTTCAGGTCAAGAGACTAGTAGCGGTTGTTGAGAGGTTCTGTGAGGCTCCCCTGTTGCTTGTCGAAGTGTCAAGCAGCACAGTCTTGGTAACCTGAAGTAGAGCTAAGCATGGCTCAATTTAGGCTATATTGAAGAGCTCCATTCCATTGGCTTGAGACAGGCTGGGGTCTTCGTTCTCAGTTATGGGGGAGCCTTTCCTGAAACCAGCCCTGTGCTAGACATGGGACTTGGTTTTGTGGCGTCAAGTTGCCTCCCATGTTGACATGTCGAAATTTGTTCCGTTGAAAGACAGATGCCAAGTGTATAGCCGCTTAGCCTTGGATGCAGTATGTACTTGCGTAGCATGGTGAAGATTAGATTCAAACATGTTGCCATGTGCCTCTGCGCTTGTGATTAAAGGTATAGACGAGGATGACATGGACATTGTTCTTTCCTAGAATGGTTCGAATTTGAATCCAATCGCCTTTGGTGACATTTCATCGAGTTGCACCAACCAGGCAGCAACAAGTGCCGGACCAGAGACTGACTAGAGCCACCGCGTGCCAAACTGTCAATAGTCGATTCTGGGTTGGTTCGTTCTGGGGCTGTGCGAAATAAGGTTCAATGGGTACGGGGAATGGCTTCGTTCCCCTTTTTGCGACGCAACAAAAGGCCAACGGCTCTAGCTAGCCGCCCCCCTTTCACGATGCTGAGTGGATCCGCAATGAAGCTGTAATTAGACCAGCTCGAAAAGAAGGTTCGGGAAACGAAACACGACATGGACCATTGGGCAACAAAACGATGGCTGCAACTAGTCAACTCGGTGCGCACATATGTAGATCGACCCCAGATCTGCATCCAGTCATCCTCCACTGACACCGCTAGCACCAGTCCCTGCCCCGTAATTCATCAAAAATATTGTGCCGACAAGGCCGCTAAAGCTGGATTTAGTTAATTCGTTCATCAGGCAGCGCCGTGTGGTGAGTTGTGTGAACAAATGCCCCCGCCCTGTGCAATCTTCCCGAATATCGCTCAGCCCTAATGTTCCTCCAGTCTGGTGTCGCTTCTTATTTATTTTTAACCCTCCCCCCAACAGAATTCCGGAGGGTAAGTCTATACTCTCAAAGCCACCGGGGATGCGACGCCCGTGCCCCGTCGCAGCACAATGCAGCCCATTACTCTTTGACGTCAGAAGTTCCAAGTGACTAGTCATTCGCGTAATAACACCCGTTCCTAGTTGGTGTTGTTAGGTTGAAGATGATCTTGGGTAAAGAAGATTGTCTTCACCTCTCTCTCAAATCGCATCATCTCTCATAGAGAGCATGCAAGTCGTAATCATGGTTTGACTCTCCCCATGATTCGAGACAAGCACCCTTAATAAGAGTGCCATGTTCGGGAGCTGTGCGGTATGGTGACTGTCTTGTCGATATGAATGGAAGAAATTCTGGTGTCTGGAAACGACATGATCGCGTCACATTCTTCCGTCCGAGAAGTGGTTTCCTTGGCGCTGGCAAAATACCGATTATGCCCGTGGGGCAATAATCTGTCCACACTTTCCAAGGATGGAACACTTTGCCGCTCAATGTGTGTATTGGTCCAGGTCGGGGTAGACAAGGCAGAGGGCATCGGTCGCGTTCTAGTTTGCCGCGGTTCGGCTGCGGGTAACGATGTGACGTCTGTAATTTGACCTCTCGGTCTGGAGGGCTTTCTGTCTCTAACAGAGCTCAAAAATGCCCTGAAATTTCTCGTAATACTCAAGGGATGACTTTTTTTTAGATAGCGAGTCAATAATGATATTGCGGGAAGACATATGCATAACAAAGTGATGGGAGCCTCGACAGACACCCAGTAACCGAGACGAACTACTGAGTCTGCAGGTACAAGTACAGTCAATACTATTGACCAGACATTTCCAACGGAGTACAACGTACATGTTATATCCAAGTTAAGGGAGGTACTAGCCTTCAGAGCGGTAATCATGCGGCCGACTGACGCGATAATAACACTGGTAATGTTCAGCAGACGCCTAGAGTTTAAAGAGATTTCCTTCGTGCCGGCTCACCAGTATCCGAGGACGAATATACCGGTCACGCCTACTTTGCGCGCCCGGGTCATTTTCAGGGTCCAGATTTTCGGCAACGGCAAGACCAAGATGATGAAGTCGATGCACGCGCTGGGAACAGCACTGCTAATCCACAGAGCGCTCGTCGGGCCGCAGCTCAGCGGCTGGCTCCATCCTTTCTCGACCGGGTTGCACATGAAGACGGTACCAAAGGTCACGCCCAATAGCCAGGCGGCGTTGAGGAGGTGAGTGATGGCAATGGCGTAGTTGAAGCACCTTGTATTTGCGTGCCAGGAAAAGATTCGGGAGAGAAAGAGTAGTGCCGAGCACTTGGTGAAGAACAAGCCAAAGTTGTACATGTAGTACAGGGCATAAAGGAGTCTCAGAAAAATGGCAACCTTGTCTGGCGGCACAAATTGAATATGGTGGCCGAGGCCGTGGTACAGCATGGCAAATATTATGCCGCATAGGCCGAGAATAAAGGGCTAGAGACCAGATTCAAGCTTAGTGACGTGTGTATTATCAGAGCATATAGCTTCTTGTTTGCAGATACGTACCATGGCAGCTAATGCAGCCCAGTCATCCCACCAGAAACGGGAGACATGGGAACTGCCAAGTCCATCCGGGGCCCTCTGAATACTACGGGACCAGAAGCGTAGCGATATCGTCGTGATGCTACCGATAGTGACAATAATGACAAATGCTCTGCTGCCTCCGGAGGCATTGTCCATGGCGGCAGCCGATGGTGACGGGGTTGATTGAGACATGGCGACGCTCGCTGCCTAGCATCATTATCAGGACGAACACGGGGCGCCGACTCTTCCGTATCCGTTTTCAGGGTCGAAGCTTATATACCTTGACTTCTTGAATTATTTCTTTGGTCTAGTCGCCATGCCGGCAGCCGTAGGTACTGGACTCTGTGTGTATTTTTGGAAACAGTTGGGTAAGCTCGATGGTGGACGAGGGATGTGGTATGGTACCGTCGCTTTATACATAGACTCGCCTCATTCTAGATGACGTAGACTGCACTGCCAGGAGCCCCGTTGGGGCATTTCTGACTTGCATATTTTGTGTTTCATGCTGCATCGCTTATGCTGTTGTGCGCTGTACTTGCTCTCACGGAGAGAATATGTCTTGGGGTTGTGCTACCACAATCGGCGCTTATACCTGCACCTATTGGTACACTCGCATATCAATCATGACTAACCCGTTATATGCTATATGTAGGCTGTAAGACTAGGATACCATTTGCTACCCTACCGCTGACTGTTGGGCGTTTTGCTATTACCTGGCATTGCGCGCATCCGCCCCCAGCCTTGAGGGTTGATGTTTCAAATCGTATTCCCTCCGCCACCTCAAGGCGGTTGCACGCACACCGCCTAGATTTCACGCACATAGCTTTGACTTTGATCTATTGGTAGGCCACGGAAGGCTGCAAATATTGCAGTATCCAAGGAGTCGCAGAGCCGACGCCTCGAATACCTGCAGGTCTCGTATGCAGCTTATGTGCCGACATACGCATCGGCAATCACAACTGCTAGTCATCCACACTGCTTAAACATCTTTTTCCTTCAATTCAATCCACAAGACACCAAGCCTTAAAGTGAGAATCTCTCATGAGAGCAGTTTAAAGCCCCCCATAGTTCATACCAGCCTGGGCAGTTAAAGGGCAGGCCTTAGCTACCACGGACCACGGTTCAACTTGAACCATGTGTAAGAACATTATGTATTAATAACCTCACTTAAAGCAGTTGCCATGTATAACCGTGCTCTGGAAGTCAACTACTAATCCTTCCTCAAATCTCCTACCATGGCATCGCCAATATTCATTCTCTTGGAACCCTTTGTCATCCTTCACCAGTTCTGAAAGGAACCCTGATCGGACGCAAACAGCGCCTCCAGATACTCGGACCAGTTCCCAGCCTCGCTATCTGGGGTATTCATATACTCCCTCTCCAAATTCTCCTTCACTAGTGCTTCCCATCGTCCCCTCGTATTTGTCCGACAGTTTGGTGTTTCACACCAGAGAACATTCTGATTTTCTTTGGTAAAGAGCTTTTTTTTAAACTCTTGATCAATCAGACCCAGCCACCCGGGACTGGTTGGTCTTTGAATATGCCAGACATACCGAAAGGAGAGAATCACATGGCTGGCCCAAATATGCCACGTGTATACCGCACCACATATTCGACATTCCAGTGTGACTTGACGTTGGCACTTGCAAAGGTTGGGTTTGCTATATGGTAAGATAAACGAACGAGAGCTAAAGCATTCACAAATGCCACGCTGGATAAAAGTCTGAATCTCTTTATCGGCAGAGATGTGTGGGCATAGCTTGTGCTCATTAAAAGCATTTAGAACCACTTCAGAAAGCGCTCGTTGAATTGAGGCTACAGTAGGAAAAGGTGTGTAGATTTTGAGCAGGGGGAGATCCCACCCATACCCTATCTGAAATACCGTGGGATGGACAGCACTATCTTGCGCAATAAGCCGTGGGAATGCGGATCCAGCGAAGAGATATATAGAACGACTATCCGATTCAGGTTGGTGTGACTGGTTTGTGCATACGAGTGAATGCCTCGTGGCACGGGGGTACCTCCAGCTTGACGTGGAATCTTGACACACATCGCGCCACGTCGTGGGCCGGCATGAACGATGGTTGCAGAGTGTAATATTTCCGAGCCGTCCGATACATTGCAGGCCGGCGCCGGCGCCATCTTCTTCCTGGGCCTCGGGCAAGAAGAGCGCACTTGCATGTAGTCGATTACATCCATCACAGTGTCGCAACCTGCGCAGCATTTCTAACCTGCTCTCCAGAGCGCCGCTTTCTTCAGCCGCAAGGCAGGAGGCGCAGTATTTCTCGTGATGTAGAGAATTCGCAACAGCATTTTTTTCTGCAGCGCTCAATACATCCATGTTAAACCCGGTATAGACGCTAAATGCCCCGTAAGCTTGATGGAAGTATTTAAGGTCTTTTGTGGCAAATAGTAACATGAATCGTGTTGAAGTCTGGCGCAGGCAGTACAACGAAGATGCGGGTAAATAACCCATGACTTGTAGTATAATTTCGGTAGGTAATGCTGTGAGAGATGCCCTACTTGTATGCTCGTTATAGTCGTTTCGGCGAATTACCCTGTGCACCATCGCACGGATTTTGTCGCGGAGGCTGATCACAAGTCGTTGCAACGAGTTGAAATCACTATTGGCAGCCTTGCCACTGGAAACTCCTTGGACATGAATCGCAGGGGCATTAATTCCATAACGAGGGAAACGTTTAAGGTTCCTCTCAATCTCCTCGGTGAATTCTTTGAAGAAGTCTGCGTCCCTAAGTAAATAAGGCGGCATCGTCGCGGTTACTCGGCTTCGAGATGGAGGAGCAGCTGGTGATTTTTTGTTTGTGTGAATGTTGAACGCGAGGGTGTGGAGTCATTTTATACCCTAGGAAAAAGGGGACTTGGAATTAAGCTTCGACTATGCTGTGAGTGTAGTCATTTTTTCTTCAGGCCGGTGCGGTGGAAAGCCTTGTTCGATTTAATGTACACACTGTTCTGCCTCTGTCTCGATTTAAAATGTTTCCGCTCACGCCTAGCGTATCAAACTAGATCCTCGGCGAGGCTTGGTGTCAACGAGTACGTCATCTACTGTGCGCGTGTTGGCGAGTACGTACTCATCTACTCGGGCCTTTTTATCTAGATGCTTGTAATTACGCTTCAAGGTTTAAGCTACAAGATGTCCGGCAAACCTACTAGCTAAGTCGTTGCTATTCAATGCAAAGGTCCACTAGCGTCATGTTCTATGGTAACTACAAAGAATGTTTGTCTCAATTCCCTCGATACAAAGACGCCAGCGTCTTTCACGGTGCGTACGTCGCTAATTGAATAGGCAGCTAGGTTGGCAAGGAAGATTCTCGTAAGAAACCTCCAAGTCGTATGTATAACTAGACACAGTCCGTGACAGAATGCATGTGAATTTCCCCACCAAGGAGTACGCCTTGATGGTGTACCGTCATATTCTGTAGCATGAAGCGCGCGGTAGCCAAGTATATGATGTAGCCGAATAGCTTTTGCCTCCGCTGCTGTAAGAAGGGGCTAGTTGGCCCGCAGCATTCATTTTCTGCGTAATAATAAGATTGGCAATGAATTGCCTGTACCAAGTCGCCATACTGGCCAAATCGGACTGTCAAGAGACAGACAGACAGGGCAGGGATGCCATCAAACAGCAACAATGGTAGACCACGCAATTTTTGCATTGCTATATAGCAGTAAGACTCCGTTTCTATTCATGAGAACCCATATTTGCGTCGCAGCGCCTCTCGTCAGTGGTATTTCCAGAGTCGTTTACGTTCCATCCCCCACCAGCGGGCAACCGATGCTGCCTCACGCACCCATGTGGCCGCATCCGCGCCAAGATGTCGCTCAACATCCGACACAAGGACTTCCAGAGACCAATTCAAGATGCCGTCTAGTTCTAGCGGGTCCTTCTCAAGGTTCGTGAAGACGTATTCCGCACTGTCGTCCCAAGGGAGAACAAGCCGCCAGGGCACATCGGCCGACGTCATGGCAAGGAAGCGACCGCCTGGATTGACAATGCCAAAGTTCCAAGCACGGCGGCCGCGATGCGTGGCTTCAAAGGGACGGATTAGTGACTGCCCCTCGTAATCTTGGATAATGTCCGACGCTGCATCGGTATCACGCGCATTCAGCGACCCGCTACTGATCAAGAGATCAAGTACTGTAGGCAAGATGTTGATTGAGGTTGAGTTCACGGTAAGTTGAACACGGGGGATTCGCGGATGCCTGAATGCCAGAGGCACGCGGAAATTGCTGATATGGCCGTTCTGGTACGTGCCGCTGGCTTTGGCATCCTCTCTAAACGCCTGCCCGTGGTCTCCCACAAAGACGACCAACGTCTCGTTTGAGATTTCAAAGTCGTCGAGCAGTTGCATCACCTCGCCTACCCAGGCGTCGTTCCAGCGGATCGTGTTCAGGTAGTTGTTCATGTCTTCATGCGAAGTCGTAAGTCCCCCGCGCGCACTACCCATGTATTCCGTCTTGTCGAACCACGACGGGACGCTCCACGGATGATGTGTCGTGCTGGTGAAATGAGAGAGAAACATTCGCTGATTGCTGTCTATTGCCTTCTTCATGTAGTCCTTAATATGAGACTTTATCGCCGTTTCAGCATATCCAAAGTAGTTGACCTCTTCCTCATCCACCCCGCTGTTTGCAACTTGGTCATCGACTTGCCGTCTAGTCACGATGTGCTCGAATCCAATCATCTCATCCATGTTTTTTTGGTCGTCAAACTCATCGTTGATGGACTGAAAAAAGGCAGGATACCATTTATGGTCACGATAGTCTGAGGCGTTGAGTGTTTCATTCTTTAGCATATTAAGTAACTTGAAGATATGCGGCAAGCAAGGCTGATAGCTCTGGAGCTTGGATTCTTCGCACCAGTCGACGGGCATGGGCCAAACGCCGCAATGTATCGCCGCCAGGCTCTTAATGGACGAGCTGCAAGTAGTGTGCGTGCCGATGACATTCAAGCCCCCTAAGCCAGCTTCTGTCCTGTCGTGCCACTCCTTGGATTCCGGTGGAATTCGTCGTCCGTCAGCTGTATGAAAATCTCCCGACATTCCGGTTACTCTTTCCGCGTTCACAGTGAGGCGGGCCAGCTGAAGATTCACATCATCATGCTTGGACTCATCATGTGACTGCAAAACCATTTTGTGAAAGTTGGATTCTTTTTGAAGGGGAAACAGCTCCTGCCGCATACTTTCCATCTGAATAAGAACAACATGCCGTATGTTGACCGACTCTAACCCCAACGTGTCTCTCAACGCCGGCAAGATGTTTCCATGGAGGTTGTTGATCTTCAAGGGGTCATTTACGGGATTATAAAAGTGCTGATTGTCTGAGGCGGAATCTGGAGATTCTGCATGCTCGTCGTCGGTTGCATTGTCCGACGTGTTGCCAGACGTCGGTTTTGACTGAGGCTCCCAACGATGGAACCCGGAAGGCGGCGACTCGGGCAGCCACTCGGGAACTCTACTTCTGTATTTGCTGACGAACTCGTTGTCCATTCCGGGAGCCCAGCCTTTGAAGTAACCATCTGGCGATTCCCACTTCAGCCTTGTCACAAGGTTGGGCAGTGGCCACGTAACATCCGGGTGGTCTGCGGCCCCTAGTATACAGGAGCGCACGACAGAGAGTAGAGACAGAGGCAACGTCGCCGCAGCATGGCGGTAGGGAAGATTCGGTTGGAGAAAGACGCACAATAAACAACCCAGAAGCTGAGTGCCAATGATACACCAACAAATGAAACGACGCCCCGACATATAGCCAGCGGAATAAGAGCAGCTGGCTGGTATACACTGTTCTTTTCTGGCATAAAGTCCTTCTAAATCGATGCAACCAGTAATCTGTTTATCTACCGTGGGGAGCAAAAGATTATGATCCGCCAGCTTCTTCGCAAAATACGTTCCCGGTGTAAGATGAAGCACTGGTGGAGGCACGGTTTAGCGAGGCGGTATGAACAAGAGTCCAGAAACCAGCCAACTTACTCGAATCCAGCTGATCGCGCGCATGGTGCAAGACTGCTCCTACAGCTCGGTGCAGCAGATCCTGCATAAAGAAGGAAACCACAATGATCGCAGCACAAGCTATCAACGCATTGCCTGAGCCGCTGGACGCTACCTTTCTGGCGCCAGCGTCAAAGGCAACCGAGACGGCATCGGCCCATCGGATTTCCCCTCCCGTCTCACAGAAGAAGCTGACAAGTGCTGCTGCGGCAAAACATGTCGAAATGCTATTGCTCATGGTTCTCTTGTCAGTGTCTGGATTGACACAGCTTGGTGGGCATGTGCCACCAATCTCATTGATCATGTTTTGAGGAAAAAGGGCTATCCGTACCTGACAAGACACGAAGCAACGGTGCTCAGCAGAGAACATCGTCCCCGTCTGTTTTGCAAAAGAGACCACACAAGGAGCAGGACCAGCACATCGGGGATAAGAAACACGGGTAGGCAAACCAGGAAAGCCGCCAACGAGAAAGAGTGGGCATTCACGTAAAGATGGACTATCTTGGCCAGGACAATCGCGTTGAAAAGGATGGAGAAGACGAGACGACGCGCAGCCAGCAACATGATGAAATGTGTGGCATGATGCTGTGAACGAGAGTAGTTTCTGCGGCTCGGTTCTACGAGAAGTTGGATTTCATTTGTATGAGCTTCCGAAGCGCGCGGGTTACATGGTGACAGATGGCAACTCAGAGAGACATCAAGGGTTCCGGTTTCAGCCCGCATTTCATGCAGCAACCTCTTTATACCATCTGGTGCATGATTCTGTTACAACCGAAACCATTGATGCAAATTGCCCAATGCGGTGGGTTGGCATGATTGCCTGGCGTCGGGGCGTCTTAATAGTTGCTCCCGCCGAAGAGAGCGCATTCCCTCCCAAGCCATCAAAATACGAGGCCGGGGACTCCATGGTGGCGCCCTCCCTTCCCCTTTCTCTCGTCTCTTTTCCCCTATACAGTGACGGATAGATACACTCTGGTTCATCAGGGACGGGCGGCCGAGACTTGCGCCCCGTTGTGCCACAGTCACCAATACGACAGCCTTGTTTCAATTGGAGCGTTGATTGGTTAAACCTCTCGCCATTCAACGCCATCTTAGCCTGTAGGGCTCTATTCTGGCACCTGGCTTGCTGCTGATCCAGAAGCCATGGTGTCGTGTCAATCTTGTGCGGTTGAACTCATTCGGAGTAGTTGAAAAGACTCGGAAGAGATCGACACGCCTTGGCATGGACAGTTGCAATGCTTCATTTTCCAACACAAATACCCTGGGCAACAGTTGACACGTCGGCCGCCGTCGCGGTATGCCTTGACCGACCGTTCCTTGGATTGTGAGACAAGGGAGACAAATTGGTTCGGCAGCCAGTATCCCATTGCATTCTCATAGCTAGGTTTCGTGAACGCGTTCTGGCCCAATGAACCGGGGCATTGTCTCATATCTACATTTCCAGTGGCGCCAACTTTACAGTTGGTGGCATCAAAGTTGCGCTCAACGTCGCGCAAACGCCCCGAACCGTTGAGATCAAGGGCCGATACCAAGGGCGCCTTTGTGCCATGTCTGGAATTCCACCAGGTTCCAGCTCGTGTTTTAAACATATGAGCCCGTCTGCCCACTGCAAGGAGTCGAGTCGTGATGCCACCGAGACATGGGCGCGTGAACGATTGCCGCCTTGGGTCTAGCCGAGTCAACATGGGCGTTGGCTGCCAATACATTGCATCTAGTTGCCGATCAGCCGCGCCGCGCCCGTTGCCTAGACTTACATGCCACTATTGCAGAGTACCCGTCATCGAATCGTGTCGAGAAGCAAGAGGGCCAGCCGAAACCAGTCACCCCTTGGTCAAATAATCATGTTCAATGTTGAGAAACGGCAACAATAGCATCGAGTATACCAAGTGACAGGCAATGGGGGCCAGCGCAGTACCCTAGGTTCTTGCACTGTCGGGCGCAAATTGGGTTTCGATATAACCTAAACCCATCATGTGCTTCCGCATCTTGAAACCTTGCAACAAAGCCATCTTCATCGCTTCACTGACAAGTTCGAGGGTCTTGTTCGTTTTGCCACAGACCTGCTCTTTCATCACCTCGTCTTCCCCTATTCAAACCCACGACGTGTCCTCCTTTGACCGCAACACCGCCTCTCCACACCCGTTCTCCACATCAGTTTATGCCATAAACGTCACCACTGAGTCAGACTTGACCCGACACACGCAATAAACAGGTTTCCAGTTCACTTCCCCCCCAGATGTGAGACTCGTGGTGGTGTCGCCAAGACCTAGCCCAACCGTGCAGTAAACATTGAAGCTTCCGCGCCCTCAATTGCGTCTCTTCCCAGAGCTCGCGGACGGCGACGCCGGCAATGCTACTGTCGATGGTGGGGCCTTCGGTTCCAGCCGGAATCTCCCACTTGAGAGGGAATGGGTCCGATAGAGCTCGTTGGAGTAAGAGTGCCTCGAGTCTCGAGGCGTCACAAGGGTTATCCGGTTTGGATTTGTCATCTCTACTACCTTCCCGTGGATTATGCCACGTAACTTGTGGACCAAGCTGGACTCTCTAGCTACTTTTAATAATAGGCAGGCGCAGGGGCTTGTCAAGGCTGTATTATGCTTTAATTATCCTTTTAAAATAGAAAAATATATCAGGAGATATTTATGCGATGTGAAGTCTGCTATTCCCTGCTATCTTGTTTGACCTGCCTATTTACGGGCCCCGTCTTTACCGTGTCTTACATAAAGCTATACTAGGCTGCTTATATTTAATAATTCAGGGTCCTGCTATTATCGCGCCTACTATTTTAAAAAATCAACTAGTATTTAATTTTAAATATAAGTTTTTTTATCAACGCGAACCCAGATAAGCAGTAACAGGGTTTGAATACCTACAAAGGCAATTACCGCTTTTTTAAAAATTGTCTGCATAAATAGAGTATTAAAGTAAGTGAATAAAAGGATTTATACTAGGATTAGTAAATTATGCCTTATAAAACGAAAGCATGAAAATTTTATATCAGGAAAAGAGGGTCTCTGTAGTTATGCGCGCCTTGTAAATAGCATAAAATACAACATCGAGTCAGGACACAGCCCTGCCTTGGATCATGCAAAAGCATGACCAAGGTCCCGTCTCAGTTGTAAATGCCTTGGAAATACCCTTGTACCTTCTGCAGCAAAATTAGTCAGATAGCAAGGGGCCAAGTAGTTATTCCGACAAAACGACTTATTATACTCGATCTTTTGTGACAATTATCCCACAAAGCCGGCAACTAAGTTTTCATGCCGTCACAAATATACTTCGCAGCGACCGATAAACTGCTTGCCTTGGTATTAGCATGCCGTAAATTATCTAACATATATTGACAAGGGGGTTGAGGCCGAAGGAAGGATTACATTTATCGTTATGCAGGGTTTCCGGGTGGGATCACAACTTTCTAAAGTGTGGGCAGAGCGTGATTAATAATAAATTGATAAAAGTCAGCGCGGCTAGGATTGCATTATTATATAATACGAGACGTTAAATTACAGGGCCTAGAGTACTATGATACAAATACCTATCGTAGCAGTTACTACACCTAACCGAAGCCTATAAGTCAAAATAGTAGCATAAAATATCGTTACATGGAAGAGCCTAGCATGTGGGCCGTAAAGCCAACAAGTCGCAATGCTTGTAGCAGCACACTAGGCCACGTCTGTTGAATATATATATACCGAATACTTGTCTATTTACAGTCAAGAGGAGAAGGGGAAAAGCAGTCGGCTTGCTTTAAATTATAGTTTATAATTACTACGAGAAATTTATATCCGATACAAGTGCAATTAGGGTAGGCCTAATATACGACACACCGGCTACGCCTCTATATCCGAGGATGTAGAGTAGTTAGTAGTGTGTACAGACTTGGGACCCTGCCGACAAAATACTAGCTGGAGGACCCTGAACCCTGCTGACAAAATACTAGCCAGAGGACCCTACAAGAGAAATTAAAGTCCAAATAAAGCAAAATTTTAGCACTTAATATTTATGCAAAAAACTATTTAACTTGTGTATTAAAGCTATTACTTCCTCTTGCTTTTAGTATTCCTTTTTTTTAGAATAATATTAACTGCTTGTTTCAGCTCGCTTACCAATTATACTTATTTAGAACTTCGATTACTCAGCAAGTTACAACACTATGAAGTACTTTGTTCTTGTTGCCGGTTTTGCCGGACTATCCCTTGCCGGACTAGTAAAGAGAGAAGACGACAAGCTGTTTTGGGATTTTATCGCAAATATACAAGAAGATAACGTTACTTTTGATCTTAAGAATATGGTAATTCCTATAATTTCTTTATAAAACCGCTATATATCGAGCTAAGAATTAATTATATTTACGATTATAGACCACGCAAGAAGTTACCGAATATTATGCTAGGCAAGATGCGAAACCTTTTTTTTGCGAACTTAAGGTAAGCCAGTTTTATAAATAAAGAAATATATACTAATAATAATATAGAAGGCAGTTAGTACGCTTTTATATACTC